TATGTCGAATATTATGATGGAATACTTTTTGTTTGATTTTAGCAACACTAAAAAAAAAGTCAGACATCAGTTGAAAGACAATTAGTGTCAATGGAAGATTTGAAAAATATGACTAGAAAGATATGTTTGTGAAAATAAAAAATTGAGATTTAAAAAGATGGTTAAAATAAATTTTAATTTTTTTTTAAAAATCTCGATTAATGATTGTGTAAATTTAAAATCATATATCTCAACTATTTATAATGGTGTAAATTAAAAATTAAGATTTACGAGGAGCTCTTTATCTCTGCATCTACTACTACTACTATCTCTACACATATCTTTAAAAATTTAAATATTGTAATAAAAAAGTTTTTTTTTTACTTATTCTATGGCTTTTGTGTTGAAGTATACGTTTAATGATAATGCAGAATAAATGATACTTAACATGGAATACTCAATCTCTATTATACATACTAATATCATAAATGTGAAAGTGTATTTGTTTGTTTGTCCTTCTTTCACGTCAAAACGGAGCAAAGGGTTGACATGTTTTTTAAAGTGATACTTTTAGCTTATAACAGTGGAATAGGCTACCTTTCATCCCAAAAAAACATCTAATTCCCGCGGGTAACTACACTGATACATCGCCATAACCACTCGGGCGAAGCGGCGGGTAACAACAGTTTATCTTTATACATAGCTTTGTCCCATTCAAAGCCTCCCGCTAATTCAACGTTCGCTTAAGATCTGAAGCGAACCGCGGAGAGTACAAAAGCAAATATTGCGCGTAAAATTAAATTTACGTAACGCAATTAACCATTCATAATGGAAGAAAGTTTGTGTTCTATCCGTTTGACTCCAATTTTATTGTTGTTTCAACTCAAATCGTAATTTAAAAACCGAATTGTATTACGTTCTTTTTTTTAGTTTGACCTTTGATTGCTATATTTTTTATAAGAGATTTTATGACCTGGTAACTGAGACCTTTAAGTCATGTCATATTTTAATTTATATTATTCATATTTTTATGAAAAATGATATTATGGAGTGAAATGAAATGAAGATGATTAATTTGAGACACTAATCAACTAGGATGAAATTAAATGAAATGAATTGAGATGATATGAAATGAAATATAATCTCAGTAAAATGGTGGTCATTTACTAAGATTTTTTCAGCGGACTTTTTGGAGGATCCCGAGAAGTTACGTCCAGCGGCTTTGTTTCATTTTCCCACATTTGTGCACTTTCACAGATATTAAACAGTTAATAAACCACCATTATTACACATTTAAACCCGAAGAAACACTAAATAGACAAAATAAAACAAATCACACAACTTCACTCCTCGCGTTCCCGCCAAAAAGTCCCTTTGATTGCTAAATCCAAATGTCACATAGATACTGATGGATATGTAAACAGACAACTATATGACTTTTGGCGGGAACGAGAGGAGCGAAGTTGTTTTAATTGTTTTATTTTCATAATTCAATATTGCTTCAAGTTTGAACGTCTAATAATAACTATGGTAGATGTTGAAAACACAAATTTAATTCAAAATACTTTTCGATGATAAAATAAATTAATTAAGATGATAAATAATGATCGCCATTTTGGCGTAATCTTGACTAATCTGTAGGCCGCGAGTGGGCTTATATCCTCGTATGATATAATTTATCTTTTTAGATAAAACAACTTTAAGGCGTTTACTTTCGAATCGTCATATTAAGCAAAATAAGCAACAATTCTTAACTTTTCCATTTGTCAAAAACAAAACGTTATTAAATAAAAAGCAACTCTCTCTGTATCTCATGCTTATTGCATACAGATCATTAGGGAATCGTTCTGCTAGCCGAAATAGTTATTTTACTTCTTCAAAAAAACAGAAAATAATACTGTTTATTCTCTAAATTGTACATTCAATAATTGACCATACGCCTCGGCTGAGACCTAAATTGGCAGCGATGCAAAAAAAATTATTGATTTAATATAATCTAAATTTTTATCAATATGTGTCATTCCAATATTCGGACAATAGTCTGTGGTTAATGCCTATACTTTAACTAAGAGCGGTTCCATCCACAGTCATGGATTTACGTCTAAGGCGGCATGATTTGAGGGAAATCAAAATTTTCCAATTGCCAAAATTTCATAGGTGAAAAAAAATAAAGACAGCCTCCTTGTTCAAAGAGTTCAGATTAAATTTTATAAAATAAATTATAAAGTTATAGAAAATTGAAAATAAAAATATTGGATCAAAATCCATCCAGGCATCGAGCCTAAATCCATCACTGCTCATCCGAATTCTTCATTCAAGGATCCCGTTTCGTGACTGCGATGCGATCTTTACACTGTCAGTCTTTCTGATTTGCATAAAAACGTAATGTTAGACTAGGTTAGTCTGCTTGACTGCATAAGTCCACAAAAACATGGAGAAATCAAAACATTCTGTTCTGGAATATTACAAAATTGATCCTATATACATACGCACAGATTTGATTAATATTTTAAAATCTCCAAACAAGTAGGTATATTCCCATTTCGTTGCCTACAAATTGAAGAACATATTAAAACTGGCTACGGAACACGCTTCTTTAGTTTCTGTTTAAAACAATAGATTACACGCGCGCCACCTGTTTTGATTACATTATTATTACATCGGAAACCATTCCAAAAGTACATACGCGAAACTATTAAACAAAAACAATACATTGAAATGATCAGAGTTTACTTATAAGTATATAAATATAATGATTTTCAAGAGAGTCACAATAAATCTTATATCGATCCAGTTGATATAATGATGAATCCTAATCAATCCTATTCAAACTATATTTTTTCTCCTTCTTAAGCTGGTAGCCTTGAGAGGTCATTCCAGCGTAACCCTTACAAGTAGATGAGCTCACGGGGCTCAAACCTGACGACGTTGCTAATACTAACCCTAGCAAGAGCAATGCTTCGCAGAATCTATTACCGGATCGGAAACGCGACCCACTAAGAATATCCGGCGAAAAACTCAGTGGGCTGTGTCTATGGGTTAGTTTACCGGGGTTAATTGACCGGTGTTGGGGGTACCTAAAAGCACCTTTAATAGATCGGGAGGATCCGAAATGACGTGTTTAAGTACTAATAGTCCTCCTATGCGTCCTGTACGTAAGTATTACGTAAGTAAATATAATAGTTTTATTGTAATAGGCCTAGATTAGCACCTCCCTATCTCACCGCGAGGATGTCGTAAGAGTTGACCTAATTAATAGATTCGCCGGAATATGGGCAGCATTCTTTGAATATTATACCAGCATAGTACGATCACTAACCAGTCCAAATTAGACAAGATACAATACGGTTATATTAATAAAGATGACGAGATTAATCCGTAATTAATATTTGAGCGGTTCGCCAAATTACATTTTCTTACTGTCAAAATCTTTTTTTTATTGCCTTTGTAGGCAGACGAGCAAACGTCCCACCTGATGGTAAGTGGTTACCGTCGCTCATGGACGTCAGCAATGTCAGGAGCAGAGCCAAGCCGCTGCCTACTATTAACTACTCTCCACAAGCCTCGCTTGAACAAGGACATGTCATAGCGCTCGGTGAACACCGTGGAGGGGAGCTCATTCCAAAGCCACATGGTACGTGGCAGAAAAGATGTTTGGAAACGCACTGTCGATGAACGCAGCGGTTCCAGATAATATAGATGAACTCTATGGATGATCTGTGATGCCCGGCATCTATTTGACATTTTATAACTGGTGGGAGGAACTCTTGTGAGTCCGCGCGGGTAGGTACCACCGCCCTGCTTATTTCTGCCGTGAAGCAGTAATGCGTTTCGGTTTGAAGGGTGGGGCAGCCGTTGTAACTATACTGAGATCTTAGAACTTATATCTCAAGGTGGGTGGCGCATTTACGTTGTAGATGTCCATGGGCTCCAGTAACCTCTTAACACCAGGTGGCCTGTGAGATCGTCCACACACCTAAACAATAAAATTTTTTTTTAAAAAGATTGAGACATTACAACGTCAATTCCGTCACTCAAATTAGGATATGAAGTCGAAGTTTCAAATATATTGTATAATCGCTGTCCCACCCTTCATAGTTTCTATTTCTATTGCCATTCCAGGCAGAGCAGCGTGCTTAGCGCGAGTTCTTTTACGTTCTCGATAGCGTAAAAGTTAACTCAAATTTGTATGAAGTTGGAACGTTTGCCTACGTTTGCCACTAGGGGCGCTGTTCCAACTCCATTCAAATTTGAGTTAACTTTTACGCTATCGGGAACGTTAAAAAACTCGCACCAAGCACACAGCAAACGACATCTTAATGGTCAGTTACTGTCGCTCGTGGACCTCAGTGATTTCAGGAAACCGCTGCCAGACGAAACGCATAAGTTCACAGCAGATAAGCAAGTTTTGGTCAGATAGTGGTAGGACATCCTGTGAGACCGCACGGTGGCTATCATCATGAGACCTTAGATCTCATGTCTCAATAGGGTGGCAGCATTTACATAGTAGATGTATATGGGTTCCCGGTAACTGTTTAACACCAGATGGGCCGTGAGCTCGTACACCCATCTAAGCAATAAAAAAAAAGATACCCGCACGGACTTGCACGCTCTAGCGATAATAAAAATAACGAAATTTAAACCCAGTTCCTTTTTTGGGTATATTGATTAAATTATAAATGCCAAATATTTAATAGTCTCGTCTTAAAAAGAAACAATTTTTAAATTAATACATTTTTACAAACTTTAAATCAGTTGTTTCTATTTTAATACCAAATCTAAGGCCAAAATCGAGCTCTATAACAAAGTAGGCATTTGTGTGCCGATTTTAATCTCATTCGTTATACATGAAATACATCATGAAGAATAAAGCTAAAAATTAAAATAAAATTATAATCTAGCACAATTGATCTTACTCAACACATGCAACATTAATTTGAATCGTGTTAATTACTCGTAAAATATTAGGTGAATACAACTTTCAGAATAAAATCTCACAAATTAATAAAATCGATTCTTACGTTTTGACAGATGTTGCCTCGTTAAAATGACAATTTAAAAAAAATACACTCCACCAATAAACAACACGATTTACTGACAATTACTTCGCACATGTCCGTATTACAAAAAAAAAAAAAAACAAAAAAAAACCAAAAAAGCTGAAACCACAACAAAACGCGCCAATATTAAAATTTAATTTACCGGTATTACGCGTAATGTAAATGACATGGATTTTCGATGTTAAAAATCGGGTAAGTATGTCATCGTATGACAGAAATGCGGGTCCGCTAGTTTCTTACGCAATGCAACGCGTGTTTACCGAGCAAGACATCTGTCGAAACTGAAAGTGTTTGGTTTGAGGCTTCGTATTCGCGGTTCTCAATGCACCGGCGAGTGACGTTGCTGTTATGGTACTGATATGCGGATATTATGCTTTTGAATATTTTATTTCTCACTAGCGACCCGCCCTCGCTTTGCTTCGGAAACATTAAATTTTATTATTGATAACTGAGTCCCGCAATGTAACCCGCGGTTATTGCCATACCGCGGGTGACGCCGCGGGGCGAAGCTAATCTAAAAAAATTAGCCTTAGTTACTCTTTATATCATCAGCTACCTGTCAGTGAAAGTCCCGTCAAAATCGGTCCAGCCGTTCCAGAGATTAGCCGGAACAAACAGACAGACAGACAGACAAATTTACAAAATTGTAAAAAATGTTATTTTGGTGTATGTACCGTATATATATTCATATGCGTGTAGTAAAAAGCGGTTATTTCAATATTACAAACAGACACTCCAATTTTATTTATATGTATAGATTTAAATATTTTGAATATTCCAGTACGTGTCTACCCATAGACAAAACTCGATTCGCGCCAACCTTTAGGTAGAAATCTCAATGGCTGCTGTTTTCTCAGCGTTTTTTATAATGCAATTGGCTATTTCGACCGTAGAGCAATTATGCGTATGCCAAAAGAGTTCTTAAGGCCTTTAGGCTTCAATCTTACATAATAATATAATAAGATATAATTTTATCAAATATGAAAAACGTCTTCAACAGATATATTGACATCAATGTGAGTCGAAGTTAATTAAATATGCATTAGTATAGATACCGAACTCTATAACTAAAATCAGGTCAGGTCTTGATAAAATTTAAATGAACATGAGATGCACCTACTTTCAAATAAAAATAATCACCAAAATCGCCACACCTAGACACAAGTTCTGATGTAACATTTAAAAAAAATACAGTTGAGTTAAGAAAAATTACAGTTGAATTAAGTCTCCTCTTTATTTGAAGTCGGTCAAAAACGCCCAATGACCTCGCTGTTAGGCCTATAATAAAAAACACATCCATTAATCTTCATACGAATATCACCTAAAAGTCCTTAGTACGTATATGTTTTCATAGATTCAGAACATCACTAATGTAAAGTCGTACCTCGAAGCTATCGTTAGGTAACACCGCATCATTTCCCATTAATCTCCGCTCTTGACGCCATATCCGCAGGCTTTTTGCATCGATAATCACGCGGATGAACGTTATTTTTACTATCTAGTGAGCACAGTTCCTTGAGGAATGTGTTCTTAACACGAAAAAATTATGAACAAATTTTTGTGGTTACCTTAACTTCTAGCACACTACAATCAGAGATTCTGGGTAAAATAGTTGTGTCCAAGCAAAAGGTTAAAGCATTATTACCGCTGGTCAATTAGAGACAAGTTTTGATCTTGACTTGATTACCTATTTACAAATCTTTTTTATTTATTTTTTATTGCTTAGATGGATGGACGAGCTCACAGCCCACCTGGTGTTAAGTGGTCACTGGAACCCATAGACATCTACAACGTAAATGCGCCACCCACCTTGAGATATAAGTTCTAAGGTTTCAAGTATAGTTACAACGGCTACCCTACCCTTCAAACCAAAACGCATTACTGCTTCACGGCAGAAATAGGCAGGGTGGTGGTACCTACCCGCGCGGACTCTTAAGAGGTCCTACCACCAGTAGTAACTCTTTGTAGCAATATTAATATAATAGATGATTTGCTTTGCTTTGAAAGGTTATTTGAGTTTCATACACCATTTCCTTTTGCTATACAGCGGGACGCATATGTCTTGCCCGCCCCTCATCGACCTTTTTCATCTTCTAAGTCGTTCCCTCGTTGTTAAGGATCATGTTTCTTCTGCAGTCTTCTCAGTGCTCCCACTTATTCCTATTTTACCTTGAGAGCATCGTTTACCGGCATTCCCAGCAACTGAGTCACCTGATCAGACCAACGCTTTAGACTTCGGTCTCTAGGTCTTTTTCCTTCTATTTAGCCGGTAACGATGAATCTTTTCAGGTTATCAGGATGATATGTGACCGAAATATTGCGGAACCCGACGCTGGGTCCCCTCTCCTCTTCTTTATCAACCACATTCGCCAGACATTGACATACCTTAAGTATCCGTTCTCTAATCTTTACATAAAACAATACCCGTTTTAATGCGGTATAGCCGCGATAAATTTGTAATTCCGAAAATGACATCTTGCATTTTCCCGGGAAAAATACTCTCTGGTTGATTTGCAGATTCGTTATCACGAACCAAAGAGCCCACTTGTGTTTATTAGAGCAGATATAACTGGCTATACTTGGTTCATATCATTTACCATGGTAAAACGTAATGCTCTAAAATAGTGATTGATAGGAAATAGGGATATTAATACCTGTTTAATCTGAATCATACAGACTTAGCACGTGCTCAGGAACTATTTTGACCAAGAATAGCATTCTGCTGAAAAGAACCCGCGAAAAATATTATTTTGCACAATAAGTCGTGCGTGCTGTGAGACCATACGCTTAGATACGACCAACTATCTCAGAATCGAGACTCCGATCACATGTCCTGTAGGGGAAGCTATTATAGAACCAAAGATAAGGAATATTACTATCGTCTATCGAACAATATCATCTGCTCGGCAGAAGATCTTCCTTTCACTAATTTCAAAGTAGATGCCCGTACTGACGTTTTGGGATCTATGAACTCTGATATCTTGTTTCAGATACATCACTAAAATCCATCGTGATTCTCTATATGGATACACCCCACTCCCTTTATGTTTTACAAAGAACTAACAAAATAACTTCTAACTGTTTCTCTAAGATCGGATTGTCTCACGGAAACATTGTCCATTGTTTAAAACATTTAAACTGATTATATTTCCACTGTGACGGGTGTGGTTTTTTGATTTGAAAACAATTGTGAATGCTTCGCTTTAACTAAAGTTTTACCTTTCGCGTTAACCGCGCGGCATACTTTTTAAATTATTTAGATAACGGACAACACAAAACATACATTAATGCACATTAATTAATTATTACTTCTTCTAACGTATTCAGGTGAAAACTACAGGGTGTGTTTCGTGAACTATATTTCAATAATATTTTTATCTTAGATATTTAATGGGTTTCGACTGATGTTTAGCATTTGCCGGTTTTATTTTTATTTTTTCTACCTGTGCTGGTAACCTCGAAGGGTTGTGCTAGCTTAACCGAACGAGTAGGTGAGCTTACGGAGCTCTAATCTGACCAATTTGCTAACACTAGCCCTAGCAAGAACAGTGCTTCGCAGACTCTACCACTGGATCGGAAACGCGACCCACTGAGATCATCCTGCGTGAAAGCTAAGTGCGATTTTTTTTAACGTTTGCCGCTAGAGGTGCTGTTCCAACTCCATTCAAATTTGAGTTAACTTTTACGCTATCGAGAACGTTAAAAAACTCGCACTAAGCACACTGACATTTGCCGGAGTGATCTTACCGGCAACCACACGCCTTTCCGTAGTCACTTTAGGAGAGGGCGTACGTTAAGGGAGGGTTATATACGATAATGACTTAGGGACGATAAGTGGTCGCATTAAAAAAAACATAATTAAGGTGGCGCCAGTGTAGGGCCCTAAAAACTTCCTTGGGACCGAGGTCTAGCAGTCGCGGACCAATCCCACATACCCCGCGCGATCCCTAGGCGCGGGGACCTCGAAGGAGGTTCCCCGGCTCGAAAAAAAAAAAACAAGAACGGTGACGGCACAGTAGTAAGATTTTAAAAACAGCACCATAAACAATCAGACCTCACTGTGATCCAGAAGACTTCATTCAGCTTAAACCTGCTATATTCATAAATTTCCATTTCCTATTTCGGCGACTCTTCCAGCAATAACTTGCTGTTTACAGGCAGACCCTTTTACTTGTCCCCTGTACAATATGGTACTTACCTCTAGCCTTTAAATATTCTGCAAGCTAGGTGTTTCGATATCTGTTATTTCTATTTGACAACAGATGGCGTTACTCGTAACAGTATTTTTATCGAAATCCATTGACAAAATAAAACCTCTAAATAATTTAAAACTTTTTTATTATTCGTTACAGTCAAGTTTTTTTTTTTAATTACAATACATCTAATATGTTTACATAGTAATCACAGAAGCATTTTTTTTGACTACAAAGCCTCTAAGTCTACTGTAGAGATGCTACTCTTATTCATAATCTATCGATATTTTATATAATTACTTTACGAGTATTGGCATCATTTGATCTACAAACGACATGAATATTTTTCAAACATTTCATATTAAAATCGATAGCGCATCATGACGAATACGTTATTTTAAATACAATAGGGAACGAGATTTTTTTTTCTTTTCTTTTTTCTAAATATCGGCTTAAACTTTACGAAGCTCGTCTGAACAAAAATACGTGTTGTTCGAGCCGAGCTGTCAACAGATCATACACTAATACACGATTAGCCACGTATGACATCACGAGGTGTGATTGATACTGGACTTACTATTATTATTTTTATACTTCATTCATATTTTACTAACCACAGTAATCGAATGAAAGCAAGCCGCTTTTTAGATTTGGCATTTTTAAATTAACTTTTACGGTGTCATCTCGTGTTCACAGTACGTTTTGAAATTTTTTCATGATTTCGTAGCTAGCGATCATAACCCAAGCTCAATGAGTTTCACGCCGGATCTTCTCAATAGCTCGCGATTTCGATCCGGTGGAAGATTCTGCTAATCACTGCTCTTGCTAGGGCTAGTGTTAGCAAATTCTATCAGATTGAGCCCGTGAGCTACTGGTCCGCGCGTAGCTGTAATGGCCCCTTAGACTACCAGCGAATAGGTAGGAAAAAAAAAGCCCAATTAATTAAGATTAAGCCGCAAAAGTAAATTTAATAATGCTAATCAGATCGGCACATTACAAGTGCTCGGTAAACTATTTTGTGAATTAATCATAAAACACTATGTAAAAACACTACGTAAAAGTTATTTACCCGTCCCAAGATATATAGTATATAGATATACAAATAAGAAAAAATCGGGACACAGTACAAGGAACATTCAAAAAGAACAAATTTGACTAGACATTATAGCATCAAAGGACATCAAAAACATAACATCAAGATGCTAAATAGGATTCACGAGTTCGCGCCCTCGAACGGATACAGGTCTTTAGTTGAGCCTGGCAATAACGATGTCATTAAACAATGAGACAACGGGTTGCTATATAATAAAAAAAAACGAACATTCCACTGTTTCCATAGCTAAAACTGTATAATTTGTACTAAGACAACTATAACGTAAAATGAGATCACGCTACCGTGAGCAAATGTCATTGATAATGTCAATTTAAAAGGCGAATCCGGCGCAGCGATGTTAACAAAAGTAAATCTACATCTTTATATATATATATTTCTTCTGTGCGTGTTTGTCACTGAACCTCCTAAACGGTTGGACCGATTTTAATGAAATTCATCTGGGCACCTTCAGGTGGATTCGAGAAAAGTTTAGATTTACAATTCAGCCCGGCAGATGGCGCTGCAGTCGGTATCTAGGTTATTTATTTTTCCTAAAAATCATTGATATGCTAAACCAACGTTTACCGGGCCAGCTTGTCTCTTATATAATAATTCCTTCGGTTATGAGTCGGACATAATTAAACCTAACATTACGGATCTAGCTCGCTTTTTTTTATTGTCAATTAATTGAAGTGAAACTTCTAATGCGACTTCCAACAAGGTTGCGTTAAACGGTTAACGCTACCATGGAATAGAAAGAGACAGAGCGAGAGTGAATGCGTGGCACTCGAACGCATGCGCGTAGTATACTTGTTACAGGCCAGTGCGAGCGTTAGCAACGAGTAGCGTCCAAAATTTTGATAATTTTAAAAAATGTATAATATACATATATTTATTTATTTTTCTGTCTATAATTTAAAATATATATAATATAAATGTTGATAATGTCGCATCTCTTATACACAGAAATCCCTATTACAAGAGCAATCTGATTTAAGGATGAAAAATGAAGAAAGCCACAATACTACACTTTGAAAAAGAAGTTTCACTTCATTCACGTGCACCAAGCTACACGCGCACCGTTTTTTATTAACGACAATACTATTGCTCTAGAGTTCTACGAAGATACGAAATGCGTGTTTTTGTTTAAAAAAAATCGATTTTAATTTCGAAGCAAAAACAATTTTCGACACAAAACATTGTTTAATTGGTAAGCCGCAATGGAACGCAATCTCTACCGTCTCGAGCGAGCAATGGAGGGTCAGCCAGCTGCCCTCGTTTCTAAATAGGAACTCACTAAAACGACAAGTACATTAACTTAGCATCAACTCTTTACTTACTTACTAGAAACTTAGAATGGTTTTTTTTTCACATTCGTGCGTTCAAATTGTATTATTATAAACCATTATAGATTATATTATTGATTATTTCCACAAAGATATGTTGTAGCCGCGAAAATAATGTCATTTTTATTGGCAACTTATCAAAAATAAAACGGAGATATCTTCACGCGCTTAAAAGAAAGAAGAAAAAAAATACCATTATTATTACAATATTATCACAATAATATTATTATCGATTCGATAACGGTTTTGCTTATTTATAAATAAATATATCGACACTTTTAGTATTGAATAAAAATAATGAATTCAATTTTTTAATAATCGACACGTACCTACTTATGCAAATAACTGTCAATATTTATACTAGAATTTAATTGACATACCATTGTATGTAGTATTTTTTATTTTTTTCTCAATTATTTTCAGATTGAAGCATCAGACGCTCTGCGTGCGTTGCGTACCGAGATCAACCATGACGGACGCGACGTTGAGTGTTGCCATCTTAAAGGGCGAAAAATCAATGTGACCCGTTAAAAAAAACCTTACAAATCGTTTTTTTTTTATTTTAATACCTCTCAATTGAATCCAAGATCAGAATGCACTAGGCTGTGGATTCTTTGTTCACTTTCGTTGTGATAGCAAGGAGATACCGCCATTTGAGGGTATTTTTCTGTGAGGGCGCTAGAGAGACATCAGTGTCGCCATCTATTGCGATAAACGCGCTATACAAATTACCAATACCTTCCTAAGACTACAGGTGTGATATTGTCCAAGGACATTCGATGGAAGATCTTGTCTCTGGACTGTAGGAGCGCTAATTACAATGTTTTCTAAAAGACAACGCTACAATCTACACAGTATCTCTTCACGCAGACGACAGACGTTCTTTTCGGTCAATTGAAACAATACTAAATTCATTGTCAAACAATTATATACTTAATTTATTTTAAGGTATAGTTTTAATCTTTTCATAAAAAGCAGAGGTTTGATGCAAAATTTAATATTACAATCGTTCTCTTACCACAAAATAGCGAGCAATCACAGAGATTCAATTGAGATAGGTTCTCTTAATACCAAATGATACTTTCATGTAACAGTAAGTCTATTATGTATCGACGGGTGAAATGGATATTTGTTTTAAGCGATAATACGCTTAATATGCAACATATACCTTGGTAATTAAAGGTGTGTTTGATTTGATATTAGCATCAACAAGTCGATGTTTTTTATTGAACTTCAGTTTACTTCATTCAAATAGTTGAAGAAGTTTTTTTTTATTATGATACTTGATACTTTATATGGCTCTCGTGTAGATTTGCACAAATGCCGCTTAAACAAAATATTGTTTCAACCCTCGATATATAGAAATCACAAATCGATTTAGTCGATAAATACTGCGATTCTGAAATATACAGTTTCAGAGCTTATTTATTAACTTTCTATTGATATATTTCTAACGCGTAACATTTCTTCTATTAGATATGAAATCTAACAGCAAATACTTATATTATAATACAAAAATTATATTATAATAAACCAAAATAATTTGAGCCACGTTTCGGACACGCACAAAGCGTTACATATTCATATATATATATAAACAATAAAACAAAACTTGAACACAATACTAATTTGTATATATATACATATTTAATAATGAAAATAAAAGTTTTGTTATAAAAAAAAAATCAAATTAATTTTTTTCTATGGCAACATCGAAAATTTTACTATCGAAGCTGGCAACTCCGTGCAAGTTCTCAAGTCTTTTAATTGACGGGCAGGACGCCGTGCATGATGAGGAAGGCGTGCAGGTCCCGCGGCACCTGCGAGGGTCGGTAGCGCACCCGGTGTAGGGCGAGCACCGAAGCCGATATGCAGGACAGACGAGGCCTTAGGGCCGAACGCACCAGACTCTCAGCCGGACCTGGTTCAACAAACAAACACACACTAAATACACTTTGTTTTTCTATTTTTTTTATTGCCAGATGTTAAGGCGGTGTTAAGTGGCTACTAGAGCCCATAGACATCTACAACGTAAATGCATACACCTCGAGACACAAGTTCTAAGGTCTCAGTTTTAACAGTACAACGACTGCCCCGCCCTTCAAACCGAAACGGATTACTACTTCAAGGCAGAAATAAACATAAACATAAAACATAAACAGAAATAAACAAAAATGGATACTTGGTTATATGTTAAGTTGGAGCATAGAGGAGTATACCAGTGAAATCTCTCTATCATTTACTAAAAGACTGGCTTGTCGAGAGGATTCGTAAATTATATACTCGAACGAATAACTAAAGTTGTACTAGCAGGTTCCTATTAAATTGGTCTAGACAGGGCGAAGAATACGGAAATGGAGAAGAGCGCAATGCGCAGAGATAGGATCGCAAAACCGAAACGCATTACTGCTTCGCGGCAGAAATAGGCAGGGCGGTGGTACATACCCGTGCGGACTCACAAGACTTCATACCACTAGTAAATTTTTTTTTTTTTTTATTGCTTAGATGGATGGACGACCTCACAGCCCACCTGATGTTAAGTGGTTACTGGAGCCCATAGACATCTACAACGTAAATGCGCCACCCACCTCGAGATATAAGTTCTAAGGTCTCAGTATAGTTACGACGGCTACCCCACCCTTCGAACCGAAACGCATTACTGCTTCACGGCGGAAATAGGCGGGGTGGTGGTACCTACCCGTGCGGACTCCCAAGAAGTCCTACCACCAGTAAATGTCATGTTTGTCGGGTGAAGCGACGTTCTAACGACCCAAGTCAGCTCAGAGCTGGTCATTGTTATACCAAGCATAAGTCATACCAATGCTGCACTAGGAATTCACCATTATATGAGGGCACGTCTTCTNCTCACAGCCCACCTGATGTTAAGTGGTTACTGGAGCCCATAGACATCTACAACGTAAATGCGCCACCCACCTCGAGATATAAGTTCTAAGGTCTCAGTATAGTTACGACGGCTACCCCACCCTTCGAACCGAAACGCATTACTGCTTCACGGCGGAAATAGGCGGGGTGGTGGTACCTACCCGTGCGGACTCCCAAGAAGTCCTACCACCAGTAAATGTCATGTTTGTCGGGTGAAGCGACGTTCTAACGACCCAAGTCAGCTCAGAGCTGGTCATTGTTATACCAAGCATAAGTCATACCAATGCTGCACTAGGAATTCACCATTATATGAGGGCACGTCTTCTCATGCTGCGTAGCAGTTTGGCATAAGTTTTACGACCGATCGCTTGCCTAAAGGCTAACCCACCCTTTTTTTTTTTTTTTTTTTCCGGGCCGAGGGCCGAACCTCCTACGAGGTCCCCGCGCCTAGGGGGCGCGCGGGGTATGTGAGACTCAACGATCTGCAGGTGTTGAGAGCAGACCGCGGGCCAAAGGAATTTAGGGCCCACCCACTAAACGACTCCCCTGCACTCTTACACCCGGCGTCCGATCTCCGTCCGGGGTCAAAACCCGGTCAGAGTAGGGGGGTTCCCGCGGTCAACACTACAACCAGATACGCGGCGCCACCCCGAGGACGCCCGACCGACGGGTCGTCGAGGCGATAGTCGACGACCAACGACGTCAGTCTCCGCGGTACGGCGGCCCTTCAGGCCGCCCGGGCGATGCCGCTGGTGTTCCGGGATACCCCGCTGGGCCAGAACCAGCCTGCCGGGTCGGAACGCGATACACCGCCGACCGGGTTGCTCTCACAGTATGTTCGGCGACGACAGCGACGACGAAAATGCGGACCGCATCGCAGTCCGCAGCCGCCGACGCGTCGTCCCGTCCTCCTGGTGCCAGCGCGCTAGAGTGACGGTAGCGTGCGGCGCAGTCTCAGCCCCCTTAGGTCGCCCCGTGACCATCACCGGGAGGAGACTGCCTCCTCATAGGGGCCGGAGCTGGACAAACGCCCTCCTCCGACCCCCAGGCTAACCCACCCTGAGTTATATCCACATACATCTATTACAACGTGCCGTAGGGAGGGACTTTTCCTCTTTTCTTTTTTTTGTGATACTTTTATGCCATACATATTCTGTATATTGAATTGCATTTTATTATCTATAATGNTCCCGCGGTCAACACTACAACCAGACACGCGGCGCCACCCCGAGGACGCCCGACCGACGGGTCGTCGAGGCGATAGTCGACGACCAACGACGTCAGTCTCCGCGGTACGGCGGCCCTTCAGGCCGCCCGGGCGATGTCGCTGGTGTTCCGGGATACCCCGCTGGGCCAGAACCAGCCTGCCGGGTCGGAACGCGATACACCGCCGACCGGGTTGCTCTCACAGTATGTTCGGCGACGACAGCGACGACGAAAATGCGGACCGCATCGCAGTCCGCAGCCGCCGACGCGTCGTCCCGTCCTCCTGGTGCCAGCGCGCTAGAGTGACGGTAGCGTGCGGCGCAGTCTCAGCCCCCTTAGGTCGCCCCGTGACCATCACCGGGAGGAGACTGCCTCCTCATAGGGGCCGAAGCTGGACAAACGCCCTCCTGCGACCCCCAGGCTAACCCACCCTGAGTTATATCCACATACATCTATTACAACGTGCCGTAGGGAGGGACTTTTCCTCTTTTCTTTTTTTTGTGATACTTTTATGCCATACATATTCTGTATATTGAATTGCATTTTATTATCTATAATGTTTACACTAAAATGTTTAATTTTCAAATACCATAAAGCTAAATTTATCACATTTTATTACAAATCGACAATTATAACTAAAATGTGAGGGTACTACTAATATTACTACTACCAACAGATGTGAAATCTTAGGTAATAAGAATACGCCCTCTCTGGTCGAAGGAGCGCAGTGGTTACCTCCTATGGAAGCGACTAATGGCGTGATGCCGTCGAGGTCCATGGCGTCCACGTGGGCTCCTCGGGACAACAGTTCGCACACGACGCCGCAGAACGCTTCGTTGTACTGTTCTCTGTCATCTAACAAATAATAATAACAAATGTAAAAACAACATATTTTTTTTGCTATCTGTATATTTCGTTAGTCTGTGGTCTGAGCGATGTATGATTTGTATGGAATTGGAACAGCGCCCCTAGCGGCAAACGTTCCAACTGACTTTTTGGCGGGAACGCGATGAGTGAAGTTGTGTGATTTGTTTTATTTTGTCTATTTAGTGTTTCTTCGGGTTTAAATGTGTAATAATGGTGGTTTATTAACTGTTTAATATCTGTGAAAGTGCACAAATATGGTAAAATGAAACAAAGTCGCTCGAGATCCTCCAAAAAGTCTACTGTAAAGATCTCAGTAAATGTCCACTATTTTACCGAGATTATATACTTTTTTTTATTGCCCTTGTAGGCAGACGAGCATACGGCCCACCTGATGGTGAGTGGATGGATTTCAGCAATGCCATGGGCAGAGCCAAGCCACTGCCTAAATTTATTATCTCATTTCATTGAATTTCATCCCAGTTGATTATTGTCTCAGATTAATCATCTTCATTTAATTTCACTCCATATTATAGTTTTTCATAAAATTAAGAATATAAATAAAAATAAGACATGACTTAAAGGTCTTAGTTACCAGGTCATAAAATTCCTTAAAAAAAACCTTCCAACTCTGTACTACAAATTTGCGTTAACTTTTACGCTATCGAGAACGTTAAAAACACTCGCACTAAGCGTCACACCGTATCCGGGAGGTGGAGTTCGTACCGGACCGACCTGACGTGAGCTGGTAGGAGATGAGGGCGACGTGCAGCGGCGTCCGCCGGTTCATGTCGGCCGCGTCCACGTCCGCGCCGCAGTCCAGCAGCAGGCGGGACGTGCGCGCGCACGGAAACCTGCGGGCGACACGTAGCAATGGAACGTCATTCAAATATTACAACTGCCTTTTTTATTGCTTAGATGGGTGGACGAGCCCACCTGATGTGGAGTGGTTACTGGAGCCCAAACACATCTACAACGTAAATGCGCCACCCACCTTGAAATATAAGTTCTAAGGTCTCAAGTATAGTTACAACGGCTGCCCCGCCCTTCAAACCGAAACGCATTACTGCTTCACTGCAGAAATAGGCAGGTGGTGGTACTCACAAGAGGCAGGACCACCAGTAAAGAGGTCCTACCACCAGTAAACAGCTCCTACCGCCAGTAAGGAGCCTCTAAGCCTCTTTCTTTACCTAACTATTCGCCGTCAGCCTATTCCAGCTACGAGCGGTTAGGTAGCGCTTACGGGCTCAACTTGGGAGAATTTGGTAACATTGGCCCTAGTAAGAGCAATGTTTAGCAGAATCTACCACCGGATCGGAATCGGGATCCATAGAAAAAATCGAAAAGAAGATTGTACAAAAAAACATCAATTCCAAACAAATCAATTTTTTATTAAAGTGAGACTTTAATTATTACATCGTCTCAAACTTTGTCGTCTGTGTGTTGCATGTCGCGTGACGGTCGGTCGCAGAGTAGGGATAAAGTGAAAGGCGCTCGTCAGAGCAGCCAAGGCCAATATGGCAGCGCCTATATTTCGCAGCAGCCGATAGTGTAGTGTATAGACTATTACTCATTTGTGTCAGTGTTCCACGCTATTTTTGCAGTTTTTTTTTTTTTTTGTCAGTGTTTAATGTCTATAATGTGAAAAAAACGTATCACTTTTACCGTAGTTTCATAAAACCATACAATTCTTTTTTTTTATTCGATACTGGCAACACCACACCGATTGCCATGCTAAAAAAAAACTAGGTTACTAGTAACTGAACATGTCGCGTAGGTACTCACTGGCACACGTCGCTGGTGTGGAAGTCGTCGACGGGCGTGTTCCGGTCGGCCGCCAGGTGCAGCAGCGTCTGCCCCGAGCGCACGCGGGCGCCGCGCATCGCGAATACGGCGCGCCGGGCCGCCGAGCGCGTGCCCTGCGACAACCACCTCTATACAATGCGACATAAGGGCTAATATCGTTCAACCTAAAGCTTCCACCGCCAAACGTGGCGTTGCGTTTTAAGTAAGCGTTTTAAGTTACTGGTAATTAACGTTTCCAGTCTAATAAATAGAAGTTATTTCCCCTGATGCTCCGACTATACATGTTTTTTTTTATTTACTTTGCTAGTTACCAACGAAGGGAAAAATTTCCATCGAGCTAGTGAAGTTGCTAGGTATTAATGTGAGCTTATCTTGAAAACGTTCAAGTTAGATTGAGGCATCTGTCAAATATTTCGCGTTATAGAATGGTGATCCGATTACTTTTTTTTTATTGCTTAGATGGGTGGACATGCTCACAGCCCACCTGTTTTTTTTTATGATTGAAAGATTACTGGTGGCCCGGAGGCCTTTCCAGCTTCACCAGGACAGGTGGGCGCGCCCACCTGGTGTTAAGTGGTTACTGGAGCCCATAGACATGTACAACGTTAGACATGCGCCACCCACCTTGAAATATGAGTTCTAAGGTCTCAGTATAGTTACAACGGCTGCCCCACCCTTCAAACCGAAACGCTTTACTGCTTCACGGCTAAAAGAGGCGGGGTGGTGGTACCTACCCGTGCGGACTCACAAGAGGTCCTACCACCAGTACCAAAGGGTACTTGTATTCAACGGAAGTTGGCGTCTGGTTGGAGCCACCACCTCGCACCGTAGCATAATGGGCGACGCTCACCTCGCAGTTCCCAGAGTCCTCGAGCAGGCGGCCGGCCACCGCGACCAGGTATAGCGCGGTCTTCACGTTGCTGTCGTACTCCTCCTGCAAGAGGACGGTGCGAGCCAAACTCTTCAGATCAGATAGTGTGACGTAACAGTTCGGGGGCACACGCGTGTTAGTACGTATGGGAGTGCGGGCGCATTCGTTAGGTGATGAGCAGTGTGCGGGTGGGGGGGTCTTTGGCTTGCGTTCTAACAGATGTCTGTGAACGACGGTGATCATTTACCATCAGATGCACCATTGACTCGTTAGAGTACAGTGGCATTTAAAAAAAATATTTTAGTGTAATAAGCTAAAATAATAAATAATTTTGTGATGCGATAATTGCTAAAATTATTTTATATTATATCAGTACACATTTGATACTAGTGTAACCAGTCACGTTGAGCTGTGACTGTTGATGATTGTACGGAACACACAAATTTCTAGAAACTACTCGCGCGCCACATGTCGCATGCTAAAGGAAATGACAGAAACCTTAAACAGAGTACTGACAAGTGTTGCCAAGTTTCATTACAGTAATTATATATTTCATCTAAATAGCTAAAACATATCACGTGTCTTGAAGGTACTTACTAAAAGCATACAAGTCGTGGACCAGTATATCTTGGCCCAAACACCGATTATAATCAAAATAATACTCATTACTATCTTATCGATATATATAGATTTATTTATTATTATTGCCGTATAGGCAGACGACCACACGGCCCACCTGATAGTGAGTGGTTACCGTCGCCCATGGACGTCAGCAATGCCAGGAGCAGAGTCAAGCCGCTGTCTACCGCTTAATACTCTCCACAAGCCTCGTTTGAAGAAGGACATGTCATAGCGCTCGGGAAACACCGTGGAGGGGAGCTCATTCCAAAGCCGGATGGTACGTGGCAAAAATAACTCTGGAAACGCACTGTGTATGAACGCAGTGGCTCTAGGTAGTATGGATGAACTCTACTCCGGTGGGGGGCGGTGCGATTGTAAAAACGAGATGATGGAATCATCTTAAACAATTCCTCAAAGCACCCGCCGTGTAACATACGGTACAAAATACAGAGAGAACCGAAGTCCCTTCGCAGACCCAGAAGTTCCAATTCGAGAGATTAGTACCGCATTTTGAATAATCGAATTGATAACAATAACATATCTATATATATATAAAAATGAAATGCTGTTCGTTAGTCTCGCTAAAACTCGAGAATAACTGGACCGATTTGGCTAATTTTGGTCTTAAAGTATTTGTGGAAATCCAGAGAAGGTTTAAAAGGTAGACAAATATGAAATAGCTCGGAATGAAATAAAAATAACAATTTTGTTTTCCCTTTGATGTGTCCCCCGTCGGACGGGGATCCCTTTTGTTTGTTTTAAGTTTATTTTATACAAAAGTTTAGGTCTTTTATTTATCTATTGAGGCACTACGAAGTCTGCCGGGTCAGCTAGTATTATTATATATTTTTATTCGACTGCATTATTGACGTCTGGTAAAAAACGCGTAATGGATGCAAATAATGTGGGTACAAAACAATGATTATGGAAGGCGAACTGGTAGACTCGCAACACGCGACTTACAACTAAGGAGTCCGGGTCGTGCTGAGGATTCGGCTTCAGGAGACGCTTCATGCCTCGTCGGAGTTCCTCAGCGCATGCCTCCAATACATAGCACACCTGCAACAAGAGTTCGTTGATGGGTTGACTGGTTGAGGGCGCTGCTGCTGTCCAGAGACGCGAGATCGAACACGCAATGGACATCGAATAAAATTGTGTTACGTTTGAAGTCGTCGTGGTCTAAAGGATAAGACGTCCGGTGCATTCATGTTGAGCGATGCACCCGGTATTCGAATCTCAGGCGGGTACCAATTTTTCTAATGAGATACGTACGCAACAGATGTTCATGATTGACTTCCAAGGCGAAGGAATAACATCGTGTAATATAAATCAATCCCGCAAAATTATAATATGCGTAATTACTGGTGGTAGGACCTTTTGTGAGTCCGCGCGGGTAGGTACAACCACCCTGCCTATTTCTGCCGTGAAGCAATAATGCGTTTCGGTTTGAAGGGCGGGGCAGCCGCTGTAACTAGTATTGAGACCTTAGAACTTGTATCTCAAGGTGGGTGGCGCATTTACGTTGTATATATCTATGGGCTCCAGTAACCACTTAACACTAAGTTGGCTGTGAGCTCGTTCTCCTACATAAGCAATAAAAGAAAAAAAAAAGAATTATTCGTGGAATTTTTAGTAATTTAATTGTTAGTTGGCAAAGAACGGTGACGCTGACGTCACCACAGAGAACTACTACCGTCAATTCTTTTTTTTGTTTTCCTACTTATTGTAGTAACCTCAAGGGGTTATACTAGACCCTCCGGGCGAGGACCTTCAATAAGGAGGTACACATCAGCATCGAGCTCCTTTAAGTTCAAAACAAGGTCTAACAAGCCTCGTCTGTATCTCCTTTTTAGGAAGGCATATCTGTCGTTGGCGGTAACACAAATTTGATTTAGTGCAAGAAAGAGATGGATGCATATTTAGAATGTCCTATTAAAACAGAGTATACTACCAGCACTATCATCTTATTTCGCATTAAACAAAGACGCGATACAGCAGAGAGATTGCAAATATATTTATAATAGAAAATTTTTATTGTTCTTTTTTATGTTTTTTTTTAAACTTAATACAATTTACCTGTGCAAGTGGCAGTTCGATGCCGATGTGAATCATCTGCGAGAACACTTGAGCAAATCTGAGCAAATCCTTTACGACTGACACCTGCTGACAAATTAAAAAAAAAACAAAGTTGTATATCACATTTATTATATTATTATGTATAATAACATATTTATTATATGACACATTAATATTGTCAATGACTAATTCGAACATGATATTTCGGTGGCATTAACGTGATCGTCGTCAGTGGCAATATCATTGTCTGTTGTCAGAACTTTTTTTTATTGCCCTTGTAGGCAGACGAGCATACGGCCCACCTGATGGTAAGTGGTTACCGTCGCCCATGGACTTCAGCAATGGCAGGAGCAGTGCCAAGATGACATAGCATGACAAGCTGACATACCGTGTCATTTTTCAAGCGAAGCTTGTGGAGAGTATTAAGCGGTGGGCAGCGACTAGGCTCTGCCCCTGGCATTGCTCACGTCCATGGGTAACAGTCGCCACTCACCAGCTAGGGCCGTATGTATGCTCGTCTGCCTACTAAGGCAATAAAATAATAAATAATCGTTTTTAATAAAACTAACAAAATACGCTTTTATAGGAAATCCAACTAAAAAATAGAAAATAAATTTTAATAAATTTTAATTAAAAATAGTGTAAGAAAAAATGATTTTATTGTAAAAAAGCGTGGGATGCATGGTATCATCAGTAGTTATAAATATTTTATGAATAGGGTTATTTTGATAATATTCTGAAAAGCAACCTATTTTTTAGTTGGATTTTCTATAAAAGCGTATTTTGTTAGTTTTTTTAACCTATTATTTATTTTTCATTTTTTAGTTGAATTTAATTTTTTTCAATTATTTTTTTAATATTGAATTGTCCTCGGTCCTTAATAATACCATATACCAAGTCTAGAGTTAATCCGACGTTTTGAACGCGATCAAAATCATGTTCAAAGATTCCGTTACAAACATACATACATGCATACATCTGAAGCTAATAAAATACTGGTGGTAGGACCTCTTGTGAGTCCGCGCGGGTAGGTACCACCGCCCTGCCTATTTTTGCCGTGAAGCAGCAATGCGTTTCGGTTTGAAGGGTGGGGCAGCCGTTGTAACTATACTTGAGACCTTAGAACTCATATCTCAAGGTGGATGGTGCATTTACGTTGTACATGTTTATGGATTCCAGTAACCACTTAACACCAGGTGGGCTGTGAGCTCGTCCACCCATCTAAGCAATAAAAAAAAGGGTGCGTGTACTTTATGTACGCGAGTAAGAAGTTATACTTTATTTTTATTAAATTTAATTCTTTTTTTTATATTTAAATTTTAATCAATTTGAAAAAAAATATCTATTAAACAACATCCTCAAACACGCATATTGGACATCCCTTTTCTTGACATCGTATAAATTCGGTAATTCTCGGTACGGTTCGGAAAGTTCACCTGCGGCTATATTCAGACTCGCCAAGTTACGTCGGTCGTATTGTAATGAGCGATTCAGTGGGCAACTTCATTCTGTTAATTTCGTGTCACGGTGCGCGTGCATCGTAAAATTTCACTCTCATCAATTTTTCATAGCGCGCCTAAAGTATAACAACAAAAAAAAAAGCGTGTTATAAACAGGTGTTGCGACTTAGACGGACCTGGTTCTGCTGGCGCAGGTGCAGCGCGTGCCTCCACAGCGCGAGGCAGCGGTCGAAGCGCGCCTCGTCCGCGAACACGGCGCCGCGGAACACGATCGGGTGCGGCAGGTCCGGGCACGCCGCGCCCAGCACGCGCTCGCGCACCGTCAGCCCCTCCATGTGCAGCCCGTGCGCGTCGCCCTGGAGACGCTCCACCTCCTGCGAAAACAAAGAATCGGTGCTTTATCTCATACAAAACCACCTGTGTCTTGGTAAAACTGGTAAAGCCTCCGGGGAACCAGTAACGCTTCAATAAAAAAAAAAAATTTTTTTTCAAAACTACCTTACAATTTTAGTTAAATAAAAAAATTGTCTTACATTGCGTGGCGTTAAAAAGATACAAAATTAATATATTTAATTACCCAGATACAAAAAAGGGGTTGTGTGGTTTTATGAAACCACCGTAAAAGTGAAACTTTTTTTCACACTATAGACAAAAGGAAAAAGGAACGCAAAAAGATCGATGACTTTGAAATGTTGTGCTGGAAAAAGCTACTACGCATTCCTTGGACACCTATGAGAACCAATGTCTCCATTCTCCTAGAGCTGAAGATCACCAAGCGCCTACTGACTACGTGCCAAGAAAGAATCCGGAGTTTCTTTGGGGACATAATGCGATCCCTATTGCACAGCCTGGAGAAACTCATCATTCTCGGACAAATGGAGGGGAAGCGCGCTAGAGGAAGAGCGCCAGCTAGATGGGTGGATCAACTCAAGGAGGTGACTGGAGGCCAGATACAGGGAGCGATACATATGGCGCAGAACCAGACCGAGTGGAAAAGATTGACATACAGTCACGATCCTCAGCATTGAGGGAACGACCAGAAGATAGACATTTAACTCTGACAAACAACATTTACATTAATCGCTGACAAAAACAAACAAAATAGCGTGGAGAACTAGCACAAATGAGTAATAGTCTGTACACTACACGGTCAGCTGCAGCGAACTCTAGGCGCCGCCATATTGGCCTTGGCTGCTCTGACGAGCGCCTTTCACTTTATCCCTACTCCGCGGCCGACCGTCACGCGACATGTAACACACAGACGAAAAAGTTTGAGACGTTGTAATAAAGTTTCACGTTAAAAAGAGTGTAATGTGTGTAAGAGGATATAAAATAAGGGATATATAAATCAGCGCTGTTCGATTTATCAACCTCGAACAGCAATAGCTGAGCCACCTCCTTTTGCCTTTTTCTCTTTTTTTTTTCTTTTCTTTTATTTGTATTCCATTTTATTTTCTGTGATGAGAAAGGCAATAAATGATTTTTATTATTATTATTATTATTATTATTATTATTTATTATTATATAATATCGCCCACTCAATATTTCGTTTCAGTAAGTAATAATTCATTCATAAATTCAGACCTGTGTGAGCCCTTTCGAAGAAGACTCTCAAAGAAAACTTGTCACTACGAGTTTATTAAACTCCAATAACTCATTGTTATTGACACTGTTAATGTTTTATGAACCCGCAATCGACTTACACGAAGCCGTTAACTGGCTGGATTTTTACTTGCACCCTATACATTGCGTACATAACAATAAGCATTAGTGAAATTTATATGTTTAATTAACATCACCGTCATCTACAAACCACCATTATTTCAAGTCAATCACTGAATTTACCAACGATATCTTTGAACCCCAACACCTACGTTCACAGCAAAGCCGCAATGTATTTAATTACCTCTAAAGTCGTAGTTTCCTTCCAATTATCATACGCCGGTATCGGCGTGCTGGGACGCTTCAACATCTCGCCGTAGCGCGGGTCGTACCGCATCGCCATAGCTCGGTGCAAATACTGGTAAGCCATCTGTGACCAAAACGAATTGTCATGATTAATTGATGAAAAACAAAAACAAAAAAAATAACAAAGTCTCCACTCATTTGTTGTTCTATAAATCTTTTCAGACAAAAGTGACTCTGCTAAAATGTTCCTTTAAAAGAGAGGGAGAAAAAGAGAGTATTATTTATTGCACACCAACAAAAGAAACAATGCGAAACATTAAATACAAAAAAAAGTACAATTGGCGGTCTTATCGCAAAAAACGATCTCTCCCTGACAACCGTCAGATGGAAAAGAATCGTTTGAAAACTAAAATTAAAACTACACGCGGTGTACCAATCAATTGAAATATATATATTTACATACACACACATAAATACATATACATACACAATTCCTTACTTATTTAAAAAAATCATCATATCTTTAATAAATCTTCATATCTGAAAATCCTCGATCATATACGAATGTAATATCATTTAATGCATTTTTATAATTATGAATTAAATGCTCTGTTGGTATGGGCGAGCAATGAATCAGAACTTTCGTGAACTGTGAGGTTGGTTATGTTTTTTTTTTTTTTTTTTTTTATTGCCCTTGTAGGCAGACGAGCATACGGCCCACCTGATGGTGAGTGGTTACCGTCGCCCATGGACTTCGGCAATGCCAGGGGCAGAGCCAAGCCGCTGCCTATCGAAATATATCCCTATCGAATATGTGCGTAATGGGACAAGTCAAGGTCGCGTATAAGAATATAAATGACCCAATATCTTCAAAGCATCAAATCTTGGGACAGAATTAATTAATTAATTAGGCGGTAGGTTAAAATTTTGGGTAGTGTGCCTACAGCACGTCAGTACTGTCTGTATTATTCTAAGTTTTTCAGGGATTTTATGACCTCTCTCTCTCTCTCTCTCTCTGCAAAACAGACAAATCTATTTCATACCATCAAAATACTGACCCTCAAACAGTAATATTCCTTGTCGTTGGCGAAGGAAGCGCCCAAAAGCTCGTAAGCTTCGATAGCTTCGGCCCGCGTGACTTCTGGCCTCGCCGCCAGGATCTCGACCACCGAGGCCCGCGCGCGCTCGGCGGCACACTGCAGCGGCGTCATACCTGAGGGTACCAGCACATCACTTGTAACGCCAGTTTTTTTTTTTTAATTTAACGCCATCTAGCGTTTGTACGTGGCGCAGTGTGGAGAAATCAATAATTATTTTAATACACAAATTAGTTCGCCCACTCGACACTGCATGTCGTGACTGTGCGTGACTTGTTATTTTTAATTTGTTTCTTTTATTGGTGTAAGTCTCCCAGAGCGGTAAGTGGTGGCGCTCTGAGATCCTCCTCAACGAGTCTCCTGTTCACCGGTTGTCTACCGGTGGTGACGTGTCTAGAAGTGGTGCGACTCGGCCCCGTGTCTCTCGACCCATAGACCACCTTTTGGGGAGTAACGCGACTGGGCCTCATGTAACATCGGCATACCCAGAGGCACCCTCAGAAACAGGCACGTTATACACTACATAGTATAAAACAAAGTCGCTTTCTCTGTCACTATATCTGCTTAGATGGATGGACAAGCTCACAGCCCACCTGGTGTTAAGTGGTTACTGGAGCCCAAAGACATCTACAACGTATTTACGTTTCTAAAAACGATTTTTCTTATATGTCAGTGAAGTTTGACACTCAGTAAAAAGAAAGTTCAGTTCGTTTTGAAATTTTAATTTTATTAGATTAAGGGATTTAAATGTTGTTTTATAATGATACTAGCGACCCGCCCTCGCTTCGCTTCGGAAACTGTAATTTATTATTGATTTCTCCACTATTTAATGGATGTTATTATACATATAAACCTACCTCTTCAATCACTCTATCTATTAAAAAAAACCGCATTAAAATCCGTTGCGTAGTTTTAAAGATTTAAGCATACATAGGGATAAAGGGACAGAGAAAGCGACTTTGTTTTATACTATGTAGTGATTGGGTACTCCAGAATAAATAAACAATAAAAGACTTAATTGCATTTTTTGTTATATGTATAATGAGTTTTAGACTATGAAGGTTTTGAACTTGACTATGAAGGATGAAACGCAAAAGTAATAAAAAACAAAATTTGAGGGTAAGCTACCAATTGTTTTAATTCCACAAGCTTAAATCTAGTCGTATATAGTTAGCATACAGAATTTAGCTATTTCATTTATCATACTGGGGACAGGACGCCTTATGAGTCCGCACGAGTCAGTTACACCGCCCTCCCTATTTCTGCCGTGAAGCAGTAATGCGTTTCGGTTTGAAGGACAGGGCAGCCGCTGTAACTATACTGAGACCTTAGAGCTCATCTCTCAAAGTACTTGTACTGGTAGCAGGACCTCTTGTGAGTCCGCACATGTAGGTACCACCACCCTGCTTATTTCTGTCGTGAAGCAGTAATGCGTTTCGGTTTGAAGGGTGGGGCAGCCGCTGTAACTATACTAAGATCTTAGATCTTATATCTCAAGGTGGGTGGCGCATTTACGTTGTAGGAGGGCTGTGAGCTCGTCCATCCATCTATGCAAAAAAAAAAAAACATTACGCTAACCGTTCTCATTGGTCAGCATTTTGGCGCCGTGATCGAGAAGCGAACAGACGACCGCGGCGTGCCCACACTCGGCCGCGAAATGCAGAGCGGTCGCGCCGCACAAGGCGCGGTCGTCGACGCGCGCACCGCTGTCCAATAAGAACTGCACCTGGAATACACGATCAGTCACGTCCTTACGGATCCATCAGATCCAATAACTCCTGCATTAGATACCTTCAGCTCTGACACTAGGAGCAGGCAGAGGAACCCCGGTAACCGTACTCGTCGAACTCGACACGACACGAACGTGGGTGGTGTTCTTACGCAATCCATGCATTTTTCTTCGGTCTACCTCTTCCTCTAAAGCCTTCCATATTTATATTTGAAACTCTCTTACGAACCTCATTGTCATTTCGTCTCATCACATGTCCATACCATCCCAAACGCGCCGACCGATCGATTTGATATATATACATTGCGTCGTAATTGTTAAAAAGACGTAAAAATGAACACGTGATTAAATAGGAATAAAAATGTAGGCTCGATCATAACGCTTGTGATTTGCGACATATCGCTTAATAAGCGACATTTATCTTTGTAACTAAAGGTCCGTTTTATTTAGTATCACCATCAACAATTCGATGTTTTTAATTGAACTTCAATACGTTTACTCCATTGAAATAGTTGAAGTTTTTTTTTTATGACATTTTTTGCAAATTTTAAACTTTAAATGGCTCTCCTGTAAAGTTGCAAAAATGTCGCTTAAACCAAATAGCCTTTCACCCCTCGATATTATTATGAATATTACCAACCCTTAACCAATGATTAGGTAGGGAAAAATAAAACATTCATATCTCACAATTTGTTTAACCTATTGACCCAAAATTTACATTACAGACTTAAATCGACAGAGACCATAATTACGAAAAGAATCCATATAGAGCCCCATTTCTTTAATTGGTTTTTTTTCCTACCTATGCTGATAGCTCACGGGGCTCAAACCGGAGTGTTGCTAACACTGGCCCTAGCAAGAACAGTGATTCGCAGAATCTACCACCGGATCGGAAACGCTATCCACTGAGAAGATCCAGCGAGAAACTCAGTAGGCCGTGTCTATGGGTTTAGTTGATTCTACCCTTTTATACTAGTATACAATTCTGACGAAACAATGACATTAAACACGTAATGAATTTCGATGTAATATCTCAAGGTGATACCAATCAGACTGTGACGGCTGTGGACTCATCGTCTATGTTACAATACAAAAAAATATACAAATGTATATATAAATAAATTTACGAAAGGTCACGTTATCAGACATACCTACATACATAGTACGGTGTAGTTGTAAGGAGTTGGTACTTGGACGTATATTGCACTTGAACTACACGGAGTTCAGAGATCAATAACTCTGCTATTGATAGACTCAGTCGCTTGCTTATATTACGATAAGTACTTATGATTAATGTTTTTACGGAAATGTTGTGAATTTTCATTCAGATTAAAACTAATAATATTCTTGCGATAGATATGCATTTGCGTAATATCCACTGTTCTAGAGGCAGATATGGAAATGCAAAGAATACGCGATCCATATTACCTCAAAATGTTCGCAAAAGATTCTATGAGATCCTTCTTATAATCTTTATTCCTTCCCAAGTCTCAATACAGTAAAAGCTATTTTTCCGCGTGGCATATTATGTACCGTAACCATGCCGCGATTACAGAAACCGTTCATATGAAATAGTAATTTACAATGGAATTATAAAGTACATAAAAAAATTATTAATTTAATAAAAGTTTTTTAACATTTCGAGTAAATATTATCATCAAGTTTAGGCAAAGGTTTAAAGAATTTTGTATTTTTTTTTTTGCTTGGCAGTTTTTAAAAGCGCTAATAAAGCCGCGAATATAGGAAATGGGTCCCACTTTTTTAATCCGCGAATAGTGAAAAATCGTTTAAGGAACTTTGACTGTTAGTCATGATGACTGATAGTTTCCTTCCCAAATATTTACTAACCCTAATTATACAGGAGGTAAGATAGCACCCAAAGCTATCTACTATTTTTGCTGTGAAGCATTCATAATTTTATATCTATAAGTCAGTCATGTTACAATACTAGGAGCATCCACATTGTCCACACGAGATTCACACAAAGTCCACACGAGATTCAATTACAACTTACCACCGTTGCATATTTTATACATTTTTTTAACAACTTCGTGGGTGGTGTTCTTACGTGTAGCTCCTTTTTTGCACGTTTAAGAACAAGATAGGCTACCATAGCCATATTAGAGCGGATGAGAGGTACGGACATTAGCTTTTAAGTTATTAAGCAGAAAATTTTGGTCGCCGTTGCCGAAACCGACTTGGAACCATGATGATGATACTATGGATGTGGTGTATGGGTAGTCGGTGGTGTGTAGTGTTATGGAGAAGATGTACCTGAGTAGGCGTCCTCGGTGTTTAGACGGTAAATCAAATACGACACCTTGCACACTAAATAAATGTTTATCACAATTAACACTTACTCCACACGTGAATACAACACAGTCTATATTATTATAATCATGAAGAATAGAAGGTTACGAGCACAGAAGAGATTCAGTTTATAGGTAGCACACAGAAGACAATGTACACGACAATACAATTACGATAAGCACAAGGAAAGCGCGTTATCAAAAGCGAGGCAAAAGCTTCGAAAACAAGGTAAATATTATGCAAAAGCGATGTGCGTTCAGTCTCGATATAAGTTTTTTTTTTCTTAGATGGGTGGACGAGCTCACAGCCCACCTGGTGCTAAGTGGTTACTGGAGCCCATAGACATCTACAACGTAAATGCGCCACCCACCTTGAAAAAGTTCTAAGGTCTCAAGTATAGTTACAACGGCTGCCCCACCCTTCAAACCGAGACGCATTACTGCTTCACGGCAGAAATAGGCAGGGCGGTGGCAGTTTCGACCAGTAATAATATATTAATAGATAGGTTATATGTATGAATGTATCATTTGTGTTTATTAATAATTATATTAAATAAATACATTATATAAGTATTATATAGTGATGAGTATCTAAAAGTGTGTGCGTGGAATGGATAAGCCCACAATACTACGACTAGTGGCCCGCTCCGGCTCCGCTCGGGTCTTTAACAAAAATCTCAACGATATTTGATGTTGTTTTATTTTTTTAAATAAAAGACCACTTATTGCGGCATAACTGTAAAGTTAAACATATGCTGTCGCGACACTTTTTGTAAATAATAATGCGTTCTACAAAGTCGTAATATATGATTTTATTCTATCATGAATAGTTTTCGCAGGGCACGCGGTGTAAAGAATATTTTAGGTAATTTTTTTACACCTTGGATTACATAATTGGAGTTTTAGTAAGGAACCCTATTTTTTTTTTCAAAAAAGATTTATAGCCTATGTCACTCGGGAATAGTGTAACTTCCAAACAGTGATAGAATTTTTCAAATCGGTTCAGTAGTTTCGGGGCCTATTCAATACGCACAAATCTTTCCTCTTTATAATATTAGTATAGAAGTATAGATTATAAAAATAACTAAAAACCGTACTCACCACATCCAAATAACCTTTGTAGGCAGCGATCATCAGGCAAGTGTTGTTGTATTTGTTCGCCTTGTGAATGTCGGCGCCGTGTCTGACCAGATACTTGACTATGTCCAGGCGTCCTTCGAAGCAGGCCGCTCGGAGTGGAGTGCTGACCGTCCTGGTCGCGTGGTTAACGTCCGCACCGGCTTTGACCAGACGCTTCACGATAGCCAAGTGACCAGCCCCGGAGGCACACCATAGTGCCGTCGCTCCTGATTTATAAGGAAATTTTGTAATGAAAACCATCTTTGCGTACCATGAATGAACACTACTATAGCTTGCTCAGTGTGCTTAGTGCGAGTTTTTTAACGTTCTCGATAGCGTAAAAGTTAACTCAAATCACGATAGCCAAGTGACCAGCCCCGGAGGCACACTATAGTGCCGTCGCTCCTGATTTATAAGGAAATTTTGTAATGAAAACCATCTTTGCACAATGAATAAACACTATTATTGCTTGTTCAGTGTGCTTAGTGCGAGTTTTTTAACGTTCTCGATAGCGTAAAAGTTTACTCAAAACACGATACCCAAGTGACCAGCCCCCGAGGCACACCATAGTGCCGTCGCTCCTGATTTATAAGGAAATTTTGTAATGAAAACCATCTTTGCGTACCATGAATGAACACTATTATAACTTGTTCAGTGGGCTCAGTGCGAGTTTTTTAACGTTCACGATAGCGTAAAAGTTAACTGAAATTTGTTGCAGTTGGAAGAGCGCCCCTAGACCACTTCGATAAAGCAGCACGACACGAGAACCCTCTCATCGTGGCCGCCGGTAACTACATTCCCGATCCTGCAGACAGAACAGAAAGCAGTCGACGTCGCCCCGGTGCTTTTAGGTACCTCAACCACCGGTCATCGTTCTCGTCGAACCCGTCGCTTGCGACGAAGGGCTCGACGAGTAAATTTACCCTCAGACACAGCCCACTGAGTTTCTCGCCGGATCTTCTCAGTGGGTCGCGTTTCCGATCCGGTGGTATATTCTGCGAAGCACGGCTCTTGCTAGGGTTCGTGTTAGCAACGTCGTCAGGTTCGAGCCCCGTGAGCTCACCTACTAGTTAAGGTTACGCTGAAATAGCCTCTCAAGGCTCTCAGCTTAGGTAGGAAAAAAAAAGAAAGAAAAAGCCCCTAGCGGCAAACGTAGGCAAACGTTCCAAGCCCATACATATTTGAGTTAACTTTTACGCTATCGTGAACGTTAAAAAACTCGCATTAAGCGCAAAGATGTGCGTGAAGCAGTTCGAAGTGAGGATTGGTGGTGATAGGATGAACGTTGTTCCAGTCAAATTTATCTAACCAATCAACCCAGTCTACGTTATTAACTAAACTTTTTAGTGTTACTTTTTAACCCTTTGACTGTCATGCAGGTCACCGGTGCCCTACGTGGCCCAGCTAGCTATTATTATTTTACTGTAGGTGATAGGATGTTAATCCGCGAAGGAAGGCACCACCATCAAACATTATTACCGCGAAGACAAATTCACACGTTGCAATATGAAGAGCGAGACATTGGTTATACTATTTAATCGAGAATGTTGTGACCTTCACAATAATAACGTTCAATTTGGACAAGTCTAAAATGATGAACTTAGGTCCTCTAACGTACACTGAAAATGAGAATCAAGGTCGCATTGACGTAGGTCACTCATTGCAAACAAAACGCGTGTTCCATATTGATATCGTAGAATCATCTTACAAATGCTTTCTTAGTACACAAAACAAGACGAATGAAAACAATCGTAAATAAGATTGTTTGTTATTCAGCCTGTGCAAGTATTTAATTTGTGTAACGCAATAAAGCGAATTAATCCCGCATTTGTTTTTAAATTCGAAAAAGAAAAAAGAAACACGAGCTGCGATCAATTCGATTCACCGATGTTATTATTAAATCGATTAATTAAATCGATTAGAGTTATCGTTTATTTGCCACGACATACGGACCTAAAATTATTAACAAACTAAACATTTGAATTGTTTTAAACGTTAAAGATTTATTGTTTAGCTTAACGGACTTCATTTACGAAGTTTTAAATGAGAAACAAAATTTCAAAACGACATAATATGACACCTCTCTATTACTTTTAAAAAGCAACGTACAATATTAACCAGTACAAAGTACAAAGAGTACAGCAGAATTGTGTGCCATTACCCTAAATTCATAATATCTAATTCTCGGAAAATTCAACTCGTAAACACTATTTAAGCTCTCAAATACACAATATATACACGTTTCGAAAATTCACTAACACGCGCATTAATATTTATTAACCAAAAATAATGTTGATTCATCTCGTTTCGCGCGACAAAATATCGAATAATTCGTAAACAAATTCAAAATGTCCGCTGTAATTTTCTATGTAATATTTACAACATAAATTATATATGTACCGAATGTCATTTTTTATGTCGATTGATGACCGTAGTTGGCCACAGACGACAGCTGAATGCAAAGTAAGTTTGTTTGTTATAAATCGAAATTCGTATACATTAAATCATAAGTGTGAGGAAAACAAAGAAATCCCGTTTGGATCTTTGCCAGTACTTCATTGAAATGGTTCAAGAGTTTTCCATTCCTTTGTGCGGATTGCTTTTACATACTCATTTCTAAATATAATACGCCACGCGCTCGCGGTGCGTACGTTATGAAAAGTCAACGCTCTTGTCGCGAAAAAAAAAGCCCTTTCCATCGTTTTTCGCTTTGTCGCCATTCCTTTGTTTATTTACGGAAGTGCTGGGAGTTTAAGCGGGAACCTAATTCCGGATTTCATGACGCCGTAAACAAGATGAACAATGAATTAAAAAAATTATAACGATAAAACGGTTTTGGGCTACACTATTATGTTTCAATGAATTTTTAATATATTATGTTACAGATAACCTATTAAACTGTTAATAACAGGGGGAAACTCTTTGTTTACTTTTATTTATTTCTGAACAGAACAAAATATTTCGTTTTAGTCTTATTAATGGCCAGGATTAAATTTGTTTCATGATTTCGCTCATGAAGTTTCTTACTTAGGAACTTATAAAATAAAAATGTATAGTTAGTTTAGGACCTACCCGTGTCAATCTCTCAACAATTGTTCACAGTGAGAAAAAACGGTATACAAGCAAATCCTTCGCAACATAAGAAAATAAAATTTTGAAACTGGACATTAAAATTTCACTCACCCTCGATTACATATTCATCAAACTTAACTGTCCCTTCAGTTTCTAAACAGACCGGTGGTCTGAACTTCTCCAATAAAATTCTGACTGCACCCTCTCGCCCATGTCTAGCTGCCGTGATGAGGGGTGTGCATTTAACTCCATCGCTGCATACATCCTATAAATATTTTTTAATTTTTAGTTATCTCATTTTTGTTTAGATTGGGCACATTGTGGACACACTGAATCATATAGGTGTTGCAATTTCAAGATTTGACACCTCTACTATTTCCTAAATAATATTGTTACTCCACTTCTATGTTCTAAAACATGTTCTTATTAAATATTTACCAAGGTATTTTGAAGGCACTTATTTAATTAATCTGAGATGTTTTATTATTTAGAAAGGTTACACAATAAAAGACTTGTTGTTTTGTTATCATTCAGATTCTCTGAGTTCATAATCTTCATCAAACTACAAACATCCACCACTGAGCATAAGACTACAGATGCTGACAGGCGTGTCACAATATGGTCAGACATTTTGACCTTATTGAAAACTAATGATCAACTTGTTATGCCCAGTGCCAAACTGGGAAACGAAGAACAGGCAGTAGCCCATATCTAAGAGTGGATAGTCCATAAGTGTATGTAAATAATGAATGGAACAATTTAGCATAATTATCTTAATTTCATTAAAACAGGCCAGAAACACCCGAGGTACAGAAATAAATAGCAATGTGAGGAGGAAATTTCTTAAAAAACCTGAATGGAATATTTGACAGAGAATATGCGAATGAAGTTGTTAGTGCAGACGTATGATAGGCCTGAATGGGAAAAGAAGACATGCTGCACTGACTCCACATTGTGGTTATAAGGGCAAGAAGAATCTAAATTTCATTGCAATACAAACCTATTCCTCGTATTAAATATATATTATGTATAAAGGTTCATAAGCATATGCAGTTGGACGATTATTAACAATTGATCTACAAGTGGATCTGAATATATACATGGAATAGATACACACAGTTTACAATTATTTACGAGGCCAACCCCTTAAACCTATTTGGGTTAATCCAACTCAATAAATCCTTTATGAACATACTATTGTGTAATATATAATATTCTCTTTGTTTATAATTAGATCTATTTTTATGGTTTAATTTAGCAATTTTTTTAGTATTAGTTTCGATATTCCAAATACTGTACAGTTTTTGTGGTTACAGACTACTAAGATATTACTCATCAACATTTTAAAATTGACGTAATTGTTCAGTATACAACATTACAATACTATACAATATTACAAAACTAAAGCTTTCAAAACTTCAGCAATAACATAATGATAATAAAATGATTAAGCCACAAAAATAGTTTTGATTGTGTTTTATTAAATGATAAAATTGTGTTCACATTGTTAATGGCATTGGTCTAATTAATTTTAATATTTTTTTTCAGATACTCTGATCAACAGTGAAGTACTAGGCCCCAATATGCATCCTATCTTGTAATGTCAATGATATCTGCCCGTATCTACCTATGTTCATCCTGGATCAGTCACAGGATATAAAGAACACTTAAGTAAAATGCTAGAAGTGATTGAGAAATTACTTTCATTTATTTGAAACAAAATAAAATTTCATAATCTAAAAACTCTTATTTCATTAAATGGTTTAAAATTATCACAAACAATAAAAAATGTTAGCACTTAGTAGCACTTAGTAAGAAATGGCAAATATGATAATATAAAAAATTTGAGGTACTTGACATGTCAATAACCTATTCTGGAGATGTTAAAAAAACAACAATGTTAAGATGTTGATAATTTATATTTTACATTTTCTTGAGAAGTTCAGGCAGGCAGTGGCTAGTCTGGCATTAATGATATTCTCATGATCCAGATGACCTAGACCTTAAGTGCCAATGACTTTGTATTTTCAGAAGATCAGAGAATCATAAATTATGCAACAATTAATGCTTGTATTTTAATATTAGTATTTTATATTTTTATTTTAGTGATACCTATCTCTAAAATCATCCAACAGGACCTACCAGTACCTTGTTTGCTGGTAAGATTTTATTACACAATTTCATTGCCTGAGTATAGATTTAAGCATCTAATGTTTTTTTTTTATCTGATCAATAAGCTTGACCCTCATATTCGGGTGCATTTTGCGACAGCTAACATGGCGAGTTTGAATTGTACCATTGAAATAGTCCTTGTCGCGAATGAGTATAATCGCAAGAGGCGTTTAAAAAATTAATAACGCGCTCGTTTCATCTAAAACGCAAAAGGTAAATCACCGTCTGATTTGTACGATAAAAATAGAATGATAACGTGACTTTTTGTTGGAAATTAGACGGTGACATTAGCAATTTCTCAAGATACGGATACGAATTTGGAATGTCCTTGAATTGGAACGCAAAAAATATTTTGAAAACTCACATTGTTTAATAAGTCATCAATTTCATCAGTTTTCTTTTCATACAGCAAAGCGTAAAGAGTCAGAGACATCCCATCTCTGGCTGCGAAGAATACACGTTCCCTCAACGAGTTTGCTAGTTCGTTGAATAAAACTAGGCGATCATTATCTTCTCTCTCCATTGCGCACTTAATTGCGAAATTAACACACGCTCAGACGATCTAGTCTTGATCTAATTTTAATAAACAACTACACAACAAATTCCAGTGATCACAAACGCAAACTGACTTTTCAATCATTTCTCATTTAATCTGTCAATCTCATCTGTTTCCGAATCAGGGATGCAAGAATAAAAAACGATATAATACGATACCTATTAACGATATTTCGATAAATAGATGGTTTTTAATGTTCTTATTGATTTTAGATTCGCAATATTATTGATGTTTTAGCTTATAAGTTCCAAAATTCAAATAATGGTAAAATCATCGTGTAAAATGGACATAGTTAATAATACGAACACTTTGTATGTATTTTAAAAAGTAAAAACACCAGTCTTCTTGAACGTCATAGAGCGAAATCGGTAGACTTGCCAGCTAAAATCGGTATATTTGTACTATTTTGTACCCAAAATCGGTATTTGTCAAAAAATATACAATATTCAATCGAATTCGTTTATTTGTTGAAAAAAAAAACTTACGAACTAATTTATAACAATAATATTTAAGAATAATTATTTTTTATATCAATATTGTTTGGCCATAGCTGCAGTCATCGTCGAATTAATTTCAAAATCATAACAATTAGCTGTATTAGAGTCGTTGTGCATGTAATAGACCAGTGATTTATTCAGTAGACAGCCTATTTCGCTGTTTTGTTTTTAAAAGATTAATATGTGAATATATGCATTCTTTTTTTTTTTTATACCTGAGCTGGTAGCCTGGAGCGGCTATTCCAGCGTAACCGTAACTAGTAGGTGAGCTCACGGGACTCAAACCTGACGACGATGCTAACACGAACCCTAGCAATAAGTTCGTTTATTATTTAGCCTTTGATGTCTTAAAATCCAAAATATTAAAAATATTAATTCACCGTTTCGTCTATTTATTTACCTAGAGGAAATATATCATAATGAATAAACTCTTTATTACAATAAAATTTACTACCCATATTTACAATAAGTTTGGCATTAATGGGCTTACATTAGTAAAATTATTAATCTTCCAAAAATCATTAATCTTATCTAGAACATAAAATGTGATTTCGGAAATAGTCGGAAGTATCTCTTGGGGTAAATAGCTTTACATTACTATAGTGGTGATCTTCCAATTTCAATGTCATATAATGGCGGCTTACTAAGCATTCGGTACTGTTTAAAGTCTTGGGAAACGGAAAAAAGCTGGAAACGTAGAGAGTTCTCAGATTTCCAAACGCTCAGTAAATTTTTAACAAGTTATTGAGGCGAGTTTTCTGGAATAAAATTAAAAAGACGTGTGGCACTCGGGGACTGCCGCGGTAAAGCTATTGCAAAGCATTTTTTATCAACTTATGCAATTACAATTAGACAATAATAATTTAATATTAAAACAATCATAAAAATAAGACCACGCTATATTTATAAGCATTAACAAAAGCAAAACATTAACTGTCCCCTTCACACTCATAAGCTACACCGCGTGAGAGAGAGATGGGCAGACTTTTCATGATGCTCATGCAGTGCGATGTCACGCCGCACGCTTATTCATAAACACTACACCAGCGCAACGTGTGAATGTGTTGAACCCGAGCTACATAGTTGCCGTAGTGGAGGTGTCAGGTTATTTTCGTTACGGAATTTCTTGATTCAGTCGCCGCGCTCAAAGCCCGCGATAGAAGCTATGCAATAGCTTCAAAATTAAATAGTCGAAAGACCAAGCAACTAGAGGCCGTAATAAAGAAAAGCAGTCGTTCGGAAACATGTTAATTTTATCTTTTTTGATTAGAATTTTTACTTCATGTCGTGGTCGAAAGATAAAATTACATAAGGCTTAAATTCACATATAACTAAACGTTTTTTTAACCATTATTAAATTATTTTAAAATAAAATTTGTTCTACTAGAATTACAAATTTCAAATTGTGTAATCTCTAATTTTTAAAGTTCAACATCGTACGCCACGTTTCGTCCAAGGTGGAATTAGCTGACCAATAAACAACACGCCTTCTATTTTTTTTTTTTTCAATTGTTCCAAATACAGAAAACGTAATGTCTTTGACATACTGAAATTTTGTATCTCTGTTTTTGGAACAAAGATTTGTGTTTTGTCTCTCTTTTTTGTTATTTTGAAATTTATTTCGTTTCAAGCTTTTGGCCCTAGTTGATTTTGTTTGATATTTGATTTTGACGTGTAACCTCTTATTTCTTGTATTTACAAAAGTAACTTTAATTTTCTCTCGAATACTTTGCTCAAAATGTCTAGCGGTCAATGGGAAGTCGTAGGTAAAAATAAGAAGTCTCAGAACGGAAAGTTAAAATCCAAGGAGGATGAGAAAAAAGCTTTGAAAAATGGACCTAAACTTGAGGACGTCGGTGAGTGGGAACTTTTACCAACATTAATAATGTTTTTTTCAATCACCTACAATGACAACCATTCTAAAGAACCCCGTTATATTCGCAGTTCCTCATTCTCAAATTAAATCATTATACGCAGGAATGGATGTTGATGGCGAAAAAAAATCGGCGAAAGAGAAAAAAAACAGTGACAAGAAAGGAAAAAAACAAGAGAAGAAAGTTGAACCGCCCAAACCAAAAATCCCTAAAACCATTGAAGGTGCTCTAGAAGCCGTAAGTTGTCTACCATTACTGATTCTGGTTTACAAAACCACTTCAATAAGAACAATTTATAGCGCGTCTTCTTCTTTTTTCAGATTGACGTAACCGAGCTGGCCAGTATCATTACATCGAATAAGGTACGCTTCTCAAATGCGCCCTTAGTCTGGCTTAAGGAAGTCGCAAACTTTTTGAACAGCAAAATTCCAATTGAAGTTGAAGATCCAACTTTTACAATCTATCCTGCAACATACCCTCTATCTGAAACACCAGATGAGCTGAAGAGAACACTTTCAAGTGTTCTTCAAGATGCTGGAAAGGCAAATGTGCAGTTATTCTTTGATGGCACTCTTACAGCTCTTGCCAATGACTTGAGTAGAGGTTTGTATTGTTTAATAATTACTAAAGTGGAATTAATTTTAAAATCTTCATTAGTCTTTTATTCGAGGTTAATTAAAAAAACTTAAACCTAAAAATATTGTAATATAAAAAGTTTGTCTAAAAGTGTTTGCTGAATATGTCAGTTTCTGGCTGATCCTTCAAACTTTAAAGTAATGTAAGTGAGTAGGCACAAAATTGTTGTGATCATTGTTTCCAACTGAGGAGTTTAACTAAATGATTTTGATTACCGTTCAACACCATTTCTTTTTAATTTCAATAATATATTTGAATGTTATTGGAATTTTGGTATTATTGTAAAAATTGGAACAATGTAAAAATTGGAACAATTGAAACCATAAAATATCCAAATTTTTTATTCCATAGCGGATCTTTGTCCTATACAATGATGAAATTACACAATCTTAGATTAATGCATACAGTAGAAGCAACTATTACAATAATATATTTTTTAGATGTATTGCATGTACTGTTTGAATGGTTTGCTTTTATTTTAATAACTTTCCACATAGGTCTACATGCCAATGGTCACAGATTACTGCTTCAGATGCTAGCTCAAGATAACCCCGAGTTTTGTATTGCATCCCTCCAGAAGTATGGAAGTTTAAGAAACTCGTACCAGAATCGACCCCCTATAGGAATGTCTCTACTGTGGGCATTTGGACAAGGTGGTCTGAAAGACTTCACGGTGGGATTGAAAGGTATATTATAATTATTATATAAATGACATAGATTTCTGTAATCAAATTGCAAAAGATGAAAGGAACTTATATGAATTCTAACTAAAATTACAACTAACGGTCATTAATATGCAGACGGAAATTATATTAATGACTTAAGGCTTGAATTTGTGTTTCATACAGCAATAGCATGCACAGATATTTGTGCAGCTATGGGTAACGCAGACCAGTTTTATCTGGTTCAGGTCAGCTATATTTTAATGATACATCGTGATTAAATAAAAGTTGGTAAATTTTGTCTCATTTATGCAAGATCTACCTTAAAGAGCAGGTCCTGAGCTTCTGGCGATTTCTTCTCAACAGTAAAACTATTCCGAATCGTTGTTAAAGTTGATTATTTAAAAGCATATCTGAGGTCCTGCATGATTAAAAACCATTTAGGGTTATTAATTTATTTTTTGTACCGAAAATGTGATCAAGTTAGACAGGCCAGGAATAAACAAAAGGGAACAAGATAATTACGAAATCTATTATAATAACACAAAATCAGAACAGACTCAAGAGCTTGTAAGATTGCAAGCTATACATTAAAAGGTGCATAGATTTAATGATTTTGATAAAAAGAATGTCTGGTTAAACCTAATATAAATTCAATATTAAAATTAAATGACCACCGTTTTACTGAGATTATATTTTGTTCCATATCATCTCATCTCATTTCATTTAATTTCATCCCCATTGATTAATGTCTCAAATTCATTTCATTCCATTTCACTAAATAATATTATCATTTTTCATAAAAATAAGAATAGAAATTAAAATAAGACATGACCTAAAGGTCTTAGTCCCCAGGTCATAAAATTCCTTAAGAAAAATAATAATTATTAAATTAAGCTTAAACATAGTTCCGGTAAGAGGAAATAAGACTAGGTGGACCCCTATCAAACGAAAAATCAGTTGTGTGTTAATGTATAAAAAAAAGAAAATATATAATCTGATGGGAGTTGTATAAAGTCTGGAGGTGCTGTATAAATGTTAAGACGTGCATAATTAAACACAATTTAGCTGGTAAAAACTATTTATTTTGTTATTTAGATGAACGCCATACATTAACAGTGTAACGGGGCTCGCGACTGATTAGTTCGCCCGGACAATCATAGATTGCTTTGCTCACAGTACTTTTCCCTATTAACAATAATGTAGGTATATACATCCTTAAAACTAGAATAATGTCCTTATACTTCAAAGGTATTATTGTAAGATGTTTCCTGTTTAGGAGTACGTAAGCAAACAAGAAATTTTGAACTGTTTGTACGTGTCTATACTCATTTGTTTCATTACTGAAACATCACTACTGTGTGCTTATTGCGAGTTTCTTAACGTTCTCGATAGCGTAAAAGTTAAGCCAATTTTGTATGCGGTTGGAACAGCGCCCCTAGCGGCAAACTTAAGCAAACGATCCCATTACACATGTTCTTCATATTAACAAAGTTCTTTACGAACTTATCACGGGACCAGTTAACGTGGCGTGATTGTTAGTAAATATTTATTTATTATTTATTTATTTATTTATTTATTTATTACATACAAATATGAGCTAACTTTTACACTATCGAAAACGTTAAAAAACTCGCACTAAGCACACTGAAGACTATCTCACCCTTAGAAGCCGGATACATGACGTATGGTTTTTTGATGAAATACGTTACGAAAGATGTTGGTTCAGACAGTACAGGCTCTCAAATCGGAATCGTCGGGTCATCTGTACTTATTTTCTCTATTTACTTCTTTTTATACGACTTTTCCATAAGGTATGCTCTTTCTAATTTTTTTTTAAATCAATCGAAGAAACACATTCATAAAAATTGTCTCATTAAATTCTAGTTGAAACCTTGAAATTATTATCACCCGTTGTACTTTATGCCCTTGGAGAATGGTTTTACGCTATTTAAAAATATTAATTGCGATTTTGAAAATATATTATGGTGATTTATTTACAACATTTCCTAAGAATAATAACTTGTAGTAAGTTATCCATTCAATAATCAGTTACTCGTCAGATGCATTCAATAATCAGTTACTGCACATAAAAATATGTATTACAATCAGAAAAACATAGACACCATGGGTGGTCTAGTTTATTAGTGATTTATTAGACAATTTTTGATCAAATAAAGGTTGGATCTTATATTAAATTGAACAATTCATATCTGTTTCAAATTACATAACCATAAAGATGTTCGTTAATTTTTAAACCGAGAATTGTGATGTGTAGAAAAGTGGCGTCTGTGCAAGATTCATCTTTTTCTGGTATCTTATCAGTTTTCCTAATGACAGATCTCAAGGTAGGACCGTGATAAACTATTCTCTGTGACATTCTTTTGAATGAACTAGATTGGTTAGTTTTTGTATTATATTTTTAAGTGGCACATTGGTGAGTTAAAACATATTTTCTAACTAGCGACCCGCCCTCGCTTCGCTTCGGAAACATTAAAACACACAACAAACCAAAAAAATAAAATAATTTTTTTTTTTTAAAAAGTAGCCTATGTTCATCAGTGACAATGTCGGCTTCTAATGGAAAATGAATTTTTCAAATCGGTCCAGTAGTTTCGGAGCCTATTCGAAACAAACAAACAAACAAATCTTTCCTCTTTATAATATTAGTATAGACTAGCAATGTTTGCAACAGCGTATTCTGTTCTAAAAAAAACCTAATGTTTCTATTGTTTTTAAAGTCATCTTTTATAGGGAACATCGTGTCAAAACTAAGACACGCGAAAGTAAACCTTATTTATATGGTTCGTTTTAATAATTTAACCACATAATTTAGTGTTGGCATCTGAAATAGCGCGTTGAGTGTATTCTTAAAGATGTTTAGATATTTTAGAGAGTTTACCGCCACGTTAATACTGTATACCGGTCACAGTCCTCGCCGAACCCGTCGCTTGCGACGAAGGGCTCGACAAGTAAATTAACCCATAGACACAGCCCACTTAGTTTCTCGCCGGATCTTCTCAGTGGGTTGCGTTTCCGATCCGGTGGTAGATTCTGCGAAGCGCTGCTCTTCCTAGGGCCAGTGTTAGCAACACTCCCGGTTTGAGCCTCGTGAGCTCTCCTGCACGTCAAGGCGAAGCTGAAATAGCCTCTCAAGGCTATCAGCATAAGTTAGGTTATAAATAGGGTTAGGTTAGGGTATAAATTCTACTACGGGCGACGGACCGTCGAGGCGATCCGCCCGGTCCTCTCGGACTGGGTGAATCGCGACCGAGGACGTCTCACCTTCCGGGCGACGCAGGTGCTCACGGGACACGGCTGTTTCGGTCGCTACCTGCACCTCGTCGCCCGGAGGGAGCCGACGCCGAAGTGCCACCACTGCAGTGGCTGCAACGAGGACACGGTGGAGCACACGCTCGCGTACTGCCCCGCTTTCGCGGAGCAGCGCCGCGTCCTCGTTGCAAAAATAGGACCGGACTTGTCGCTTCCGACCGTCGTGGCTACGATGCTCGGCAGCGACGAGTCCTGGCAGGCGATGCTCGACTTCTGCGAGTCCACCATCTCGCAGAAGGAGGCGGCGGAACGGGAGAGGGAGAGCTCTTCTTCCCTCTCGGCGCCGTGCCGCCGCCGTCGGGCCGGGGGCCGGAGGAGGGCGTTTGTCCAGCTCCAGCCCCTATGAGGAGGCAGTCTCCTCCCGGTGATGGTCACGGGGCGACCTAAGGGGGTTGAGGCTGCGCCGCACGCTACCGTCACTCTAGCGCGCTGGCACCAGGAGGACGGGACGGCGCGTCGGCGGCTGCGGACTGCGATGCGGTCCGCATTTTCGTCGTCGCTGTCGTCGCCGAACATACTGTTGAAGAGCAACCCGGTCGGCGGTGTATCGCGTTCCGACCCGGCAGGCTGGTTCTGGCCCAGCGGGGTATCCCGGAACACCAGCGGCACCGCCCGGGCGGCCTGGTAGGGCCGCCGTACCGCGGAGACCGACGTCGTTGGTCGTCGACTATCGCCTCGACGACCCGTCGGTCGGGCGTCCTCGGGGTGGCGCCGCGTGTCTGGTTGTAGTGTTGACCGCGGGAACCCCCCTACTCTGAACGGGTTCTGACCCCGGACGGAGATCGGACGTCGGGTGTAAGAGTGCAGGGGAGTCGTTTAGTGGGTGGGCCCTAAAATCCTTGGGCCCGCGATCTGCTCTCAACACCTGCAGATCGTTGAGTCTCACATACCCCGCGCGCCCCCTAGGCGCGGGGACCTCGTAGGAGGTTCGGCCCCCGGCCCGAAAAAAAAAAAAAAAAAAAAGGGTATAAATTCTATATATAAAAAATGGGCAAAGAATTTGAAAAGCTGTTGATGTTGACATCAAAGACTTTATGTTTGAGATTTTTTACTGGGGGGAGATGAGGGACGTGTTATAGTAATCGCGCACAAATATTGAATATCATTCAACGTATCGCTATCTGCAATCATTTCTGCCTATAAGGTACACCGCGTGATGTTTAAATAGCTAATTAAAATACTCAGGCCAATGCTTAGGCCAGTAGATTGCACTTAGGCTAGGCCTCTTTTATATTAGTTTACCAAACAGCCAAGTGGAAACCTCAAACACAGTCCAGTAAGTTATTGTGAAGCCATGTAATACTTATTCACTTTTATCGAATGTGGATTTAACCCAAAACTCATCAAAAAACGTTAACCCAGTTACAGCTAATACTTTTATTTGCATTATACATTGTTTTATTAATTTTTTCACGGCTTTTTTATCGTATCAGATAAGAAAGTCCCGTTACGATTCAAATTAAAATCCTTGATGTTGCCAATGAGAAAATAAATATTGAATTAACCATCAAGATAATCATTTCGATGACGTCAATTACTAGTGCGATTGTGGCGGTTACCGGTATTAATCCTCAGCTGGTGTGGGGTAGTTTGGCCGGATAAAAAATTTCACCATCCGAACCAGTAGTATCCGGTTTTTTTCCTACCTAAGCTCATGGTCTTGATAGACCACTTCAGTGTAACCTTAACAAGTAGGTGAGCTGACGGGGCTCAAACCTTACGTCGTTGCTAACACTAAACCCTAGCAAGAACAGTGCTCCGTAGAATCTATTCACCGTCCTCGTCGAACCCGTCGCTTGCGACGAAGGGCTCGACGAGCGAACTAACCCATAGACACAGCCCACTGAGTTTCTCGCCGGATCTTCTCAGTGGGTCGCGTTTCCGATCCGGTGGTANAAAAAAAAAAAAAAAAAAAAGTTGAATCTACCACCGGATCGGAAACGCGACCCACTGAAAAGGTCCGGTGAGAAACTCGGTGGGCTGTGTCTGCGGGTTAATTTACTCGCCGGGCCCTTCGTCGTAAGCGACGGGTTCGACGAGAACGATGACCGGCCGGTTATTAGTGACCGTCCGCCGCACTGCAGGAAAACGGACAGCTGTTATTTGAATATTCTAGAAATAATTTCCATGGCTAATGGCGAGGTTGAGCTATCCATGAGCAATGATACTGGTGATGATGAGACTTTAAGGACCGCACCTATTTAAGTCTTTTGTAATCAGATACAATTTAAATGTCTTTTATTCCAGTTTGGCAGGAAATCTTTTTACCGGTACTCGAATTGAAGAACTATACGAAATACGTAATAGGATATCTTTCGAAGATAATCGATCATCATTCCGAGATGAATACGATTAATGTTAACCAGGATCAATTCTTTTCTATGATTGACTTAATAAACACTAAGAAGAATGGTTTGTCGAAAGAATTTTCTGGTGACCTAATCAAACAATTAAGTAAATATAAGGTAAGGGAAAATTTAATTTTACTTATACATTTCGCTTGTAGATTAGGATATATATTTTACTCACCGTAATGGAATTAATTACGCGACAGTTCGAAGTCATAATAATACAGCTTTTTTTTTAAATAATATGATTGATCAGGAATGTCAATATAAATCAAAATAATACAAAAACGTTCAGAAATAACTCGAAAAAAAATGTGGTAGCGGAGATGATCGTCAAATAACAGAAAAATATGCACAAAATGGTACATTACATCGTCGTCATTATGGTACAGGCGTGTGAGAGAGATAGTAACATATTCCTCCGACACTCCCATTCTTCGTAATACTCGTACTCAACATTATTTTCTATGTAACTTTATTTTGATGTACAAAACTAACAACGAATATTCCTTAAATGTTAACTTATAAATAAATTTGGAATAGCCCCTTAGGCTACCAGTGAATTTGTAAGAAAAAAAGAATTAATCTAGCAAATGATATGCACATTAAACTTTTTTATTTAATCTTATTTATTTTTTAGGACATTTATTTCAAGAAGAGCGGCAACAAATTACAAGTTACGTTCAATCAGCTGATGAAGAAACTCCCCAACCAGTACCTAAGCGGTTCGGCCTTGGATCCGTACAACAAAGTGATCATCGAAAGTCTAGTCGACTGTCTGTCTAAAGACGACTCTTGTAACGCCACGTGGCGTCAACTCTTCCACAGGTGCAGTAAGCAGTCTGCCTCACTCCTCGATTTCATAGGTAATTTTTCATTTTACTCGTCGTACGTAAAGGTTCCCTGAAAGAGGTTATTAAAGTCAAGGCCATTGTTATTGTAGGTTTTGATTAAAATTATTTTTGTTTTTATCTTATTAACTTAATTTGATTTAAGAATGTTACGTCTTAGTCCAGTGTTAGATAGTAATGAAATAGATTAAATTTTAATTATGACGACATACAAAACAACTACATATGTTTTAATTAAAAATATTTCCTGTGTAGATTCAAATTGGTTGGAAGTAAGTAAAAAATTGAAATTAAAATCTCTAAAAGCAACGGTGCTACAATATAAAGAAGTGAGCGGAGAAGCTCTTAAGGGCAAGAAAAAGGATGAAGTTCTAGTAAAAACAACGAAGATATGCCAGGTTGGTGAAAAGATTATTTTTTATAATTTTAATTAATAAATTAAATTTAAAAAATTAATGAATTCATAGATCAACAAACTATTTCCGAGCATCCCAAAACCTTTAATTACTTCACACTTAGGAATAGATACTATAAATAGGTGCTATTTTTTATAAAATAAAAAAGGAAATTTGAAATAACAACATAATTTGTAGTAAGTAAAGCTTTACGTCAGAAACACATGAAAAGTTGTTAATTACTTTATAACTATAATGAAATATAAAGACTGACCTTTGAATAATAATAATAATGACAGAGAACATACAGACTTAATTACAGTAAGTATTAAAAATCAGAATATCGTCATGTCTTTGGATGAGTGCAACCATAATACGCGCACGACGTGAACATTAAAATGTTTATGAATAAATTTATTATGGTAACCCTAAAGCTACTGTCAAATGTCAATCAGTTAAAGCTCTTTTGTTGAGGGGAGTGTCTTGAGTTTTTCGATCCATTTAAATTCCCGTGTTCTGAAATTGCCACATATAGAAAATACTAATTCAAGGTAAAATTTTATGTTATTGATAAAAATTATGCTTACATTACATTTTGATGAGTTTCCTAAATTTACGCCAATGAAGTTGAAATGATAGAATTGATTTTTTTTTTTCCGCGAAACACGTGAAATCTTTCGTGTAAAATCGCGCACTTAGTTCTTGTGTAGAACTCGAAAAACTGCTTTTTTCTTAACACGATCGTTGACGCCCATACGTTCTAACAGTAAATGAATGTGGTACATCCGTTAGACAGGCCGCGGGAGGTGATAGTTTATTTTAATTTTATCGAATTTGACAATCGAACGACCCGATTCAGGTAAAAGATTAATTAATGTCCATAAACGAATTGAACAGAATATTGAAAACAGACCGGTGTCGTATATTGAACATGCGAGTTGAAAAAGTATTCGTAATTTACGTACGATTGAAGTCTTTATCCTTGAACTTGCTTGATGAAATAAGTGTTTGTGTGACCCTGCGCTGTGTTTTCATGTTTCAAGACCACGATATTAAATAAATATATGTGAATAGTCAGATATTGCATTAAAGTTGGTTGAGTTCTGTGAATATTGAAACACTTTTTGCAAGTGTAAGTGTTGATTATGTTGGACAGTTAAATTTGAGGGGATTGGGTTCTGTATTACCACTTTACATTTTTATTCAAACTCCAACAGATTGTAAAGTAAAAAAGGAAAATGGCTAAGGCTAGGAAGTGTTAAGACACGTTTGATGGTCATTATATCTCAAAGAAACTACAAGTCCTCTTTGTATAATTATATTTTCTGTTATATTCATTGATCAAAGTTGCATCTTAAATATGTAAATTAACATATAGGTAACTAAAAATGTATATTATTGTATTCTCTGTAAATATATTGTATTTTTACATGCATGAATGTGCATTTGGTTTTGCTGCTGTCTGTAAATGAGTGACCATTCATCATCGTGTGGCCTATACTGTCACCTTGTTTCAGAATTAAAAACAGCTTCCAGTTGTCATTGTTTTAATTTTCACGATCGATGTATCAAAACAAGCTGCAGACAGTTGTGTAAATATCTTATGCAAAACACTGAAGCACTAATTGCCAACTTTTTAGTTGTTATTCCCTTAATTATTACAAAAATAACTAAATAAAAGGATAATTAAATGTCAAATATTATGGACTATACTTTTTTAATAGTTTAAATATGATTTTTGAATTATTAACCTAAAAGTGATTTAATGAATTAAGAATTTATTTTATTATAATCAATAACATCAAAACCAATGCAATCAATCCAATTTTACTAAATATAACCAGAACTGGTAAATCCACATTTTTAAAATCACAAATATTGATTCTATTTCTTGGAATATTGCCTTATCGCAATTTCATTATTTCCAAACTGCTAATAATTTAAATATCTTAATAGATATTACTGTATGAAACTTATATTGAATTTTGTGTTGTAACAGTTTCATTCTGATTTATTGAATTATTATGTTTTGCATTATTAGAAACACTAACATTAAATATACTGTAATTGGGTTTTTTCTACAGGATATTCTAGACAGAATGACGAGCACTAGAAGAAATCCCTGGTTGTGGGCCAGCTTTGTTCTGCTGGTCAGCATTGCTGGTCTGGTAGCTTATGACGTGTCTCGGGCTGGAGGAAACTTCCCTAGTAAGCAAATTTTGTTTTATAGATCGAATAATGGACATAGGACAGTTGAATTAACTAAAAATGTTGTTTTCATTCAATGTTACTTTCACTCTCGTCTCGTTTTTATGTACATAAAATTGTAAATGCAAGTTCTCAAATTGCACTTGTTTCGGGCTTAGTGAAAGTTTTAAGTCTAAAGGATAAGGCGACCAAGTGCATTCCTATTAAATGCTATGATTATGCCGGTGATCAAATAACATAACCAGGTTTTTTTTTATTGCTTAGATGGGTGGACGAGCTCACAGCCCACCTGGTGTTAAGTGGTTACTGGAGCTCATAGACATCTACAACGTAAATGCGCCACCCACCTTGAGATAATAATATAAGTTCTAAGGTCTCAAGGTTACAACGGCTGCCCCACCCTTCAAACCGAAGCGCATTACTGCTTCACGGCAGAAATAAGCAGTAAAAAATACTAAGTAAAAAAACTAAGGAAATAAGTATTTAACATCTTTTCATAAACCACTACAAACTAATTTACTAGCATCCAGGCCATTTCTCCAAAGCAATCATGTATTTAGGTGTAAAAATTGCAACAGCCCCTATTCTGTGGAATTAATATTTTGATTTAATTTCAAGAGGGCTTGGCAGCACCATGCTTTTTCTTGAAAACAATGCACTTGTGAATGCTAAAAATGAGATAAGGGCATACTTTAAAAGTAGATTTAAAAATCAAAATAAATTCAATACTATCGAAGAAAGTATAATAACAAAGCGTTAAGAATGTTAATGTTGTTTTAACATGTCTGATAATAGGTACATCATATTTTATCAGTATTGAGAGTCACGACACTTAATAATGTTGATAACAAAAAGTTACACTGGGAAGGCATGTTACTAGTTTATTTAAATCAAATATTATGACATTTCAACTCGTCGTGGCCTAACGGATAACACGTCCGGTGCATTTGTGTTGTGCGATGCACCGGTGTTCGAATCTCAGGCGGGTACCAATTTTTCTAATACGTACTCAACAAATGTTCACGATTGACTTCCACGGTGAAGGAATAACATCTTGTAATAAAAATTAAACTTGCAAAATTATAATTTGCATAATTACTGCTGGTAGGACCTCTTGTGAGTCCGCGCGGGTGGGTACCACCACCCTGCCTATTTCTGCCGTGAAGCAGTAATGCGTTTCGGTTTGAAGGGTGGGGCAGCCGTTGTTACTATGCGTGAGACCTTAGAACTAATATCTCAAGATGGGTGGCGCATTTACGTTGTGGATGTCTATGGGCTCCAGTAAACACTTAACACCAGGTGGGCTGTGAGCTCGTCCACCCATATAAGCAATAAAAAAGAACTTAAAACTTTGGAGTAGCCAAATATTAAAGATTTGTTGTAAGATTCTGAACTTCTTCATTGATGTATGTTGACCCATATCTAAATGTTAAATATAATTCAATGTGCGAATATGTTGTGTTAAGACAATGCCCAACCAATCATTACATGAGAATCTTCACAAATTTTGAAATTGTTAGTATTGCTATTTCGTTACAAAATTGCTATAATTGCAAATTGATATTGACTAAAGTCTTAAAAGTATATAACAATTGAATTAGCTATCAATCAGGTATGAATCAGAAATCCATAAATGTATTGAAGAATACCTCTTCTCTTATATATTCAATGATTTTCCTGTGACCGCATGCTTATTAAACATTAAATAGATAATCCCACAAATAACAAGTTTTTAATAAGTTTGTTATTGTTACAGAGAGTACAACGGGAAAGCTGTTCAAAGATTTGGGCATTCTTGAGCATAGTCAACAGGCTTGGCAGAAGACACTGTCCACCTCTGCTCGCGGTTACCTATGGCTTGAAACCAATGCACCGGTTTACTACGCACAAACTGTTGAAATATGTCGTCCATATACACAACTGTCTAAGGACGCATTCTTCATAGCATTAAAGAAAGCTGGTATTCTGTATGGAAATGTCCAAGACTATGTGGTGGAGAAAACGCCTGTCGTTATTAAAACCATTGAAGAGTATGCTCCTGGTCTTGTAGACAACGTTCAGAGCTATGCATCTATGGCCTGGAGCGGACTCAAAAAGTACTCTAGCGATTATTATCAAATCACAACTGACTATTTGGTTACTAAAGTTTTTGTGTAAGTTTTTATTAATGTCAATAATTATTGCTTTAATATTATCAATTATTAGTCAATAATTATTGCTTTAAATATTCAAATTATGACTTTACAATAGCATTACAATTAAAAATAATAAGTTACGCAGAAGACATTTTGTAAAGATCTCGAATGTAATAATTGAATGATGATTTTATTTCAATGCCTGAAATTTATTTATTTATTCTATTTCAGTGGTGATTGGGCCCCAGAGGTACTTCAGAATAAAACGCAGTCAGCTCTGAATATGACAAAGTCCCAAGTTTCATCATATTATGTATGGTTCCGGCAACAGGTTCACATATACTCAGAGATACCTTGAACTTGATGTTAGTTCAAAATTAGAGATTATTGTAGCCTTGTGAGTAGATGACTGGTTTCTATTATCCTGTATTTGTTTTTAATCAAACTTCAGTATTGTAGATCCTATGTAATTCTTCCTAACATTGAACAATAACATAATAACATTTAAAGGTTTATTTCGAGAACCATTTCTTTTTAATAATTTGTCTTTTAACAAGTACTTTTCAAATATTTTACAGACAGAAAAATTTATCTGAAAAAATTATTTATGCTATTCAAGGAACAGTCTTCTACCCACAAGTATGTTATTATTTTTTGTTTTTACAAATTTTAAACAAACTGTACGTACAATAATCTTCCAAAACTAGAAGAAAAAAAAACCGAATACAACGAATGAATCTATTAATTGTTTTAAAACTCCACTCGTTCTCAAAATGATTTGTATATGTCTACATTTTTATTCTAATAATATCCATGACAACTATTCTGAACTAAAACCACTATTGGTACATTCCTGTTTGAAGCATTTTAAAAAAAATACGACTGAAATCATTTATTTATAGATAAATCACATAACTTAGTTACCGATTGTTATTATTGCTGAAGATTTGTTCGATTTTCTGTCGAGTTCAATCAATTAATTTCCTTTTTTTTATATAGTTTTGAATGTTTAAAATGCAAGGATGAACTTTGAGAATAATTGTTATTGATTGTCGTATGGAAGTAAAGTTTTTTTTTTTTTATATATTAGAATGGATGAAAAAGTCAATTTTTACCCGACAATAATCGAACAGGTCGATGATGTGCATCTAATTCATACACATTATTTTATAGTTTGTTTTAATGAAATGTTAGAGCAATAAGTTTTGTAGGATATTTATTTTGTGGAAGGAAGATCGTGTGTGTTTGAATATATTATTAAATTCTACATTGTTTTCTTAGTGTTTACCTAATAAAACCATAATCCTTATCAACAAATTATATATGTTTTAGCAAATTACCCAAAAGCCTCCTTGGTATATTGGTACATGATATAGACAACTGTGTTTAAGTTCAATTCCTTGTCATTGTGAGACTAGAAACATTGAGATTGTGGTATAATACAATGTTATTTTTTTGCTATGGTAGACATAAGATACGAGCATACAACAAATGTAGCTTATGGACATCGGCAGCAATATTTTTTCTCGTATACCTTTCTGACACCCATAATAGAAAATCATAGATTGGGTCCGTTGTTAATCTAAACTTGAATTACCTACTATCGATTTGATGAATAGACATGTGGCTCTTAATTTTAGCTGAATTGAATACCTTTTTTTTGTATCGATGGGGAATCTGTCTTTACGGATACCCTGCCGACGGGGATCGGACCGGGTTATGTCGGACTCCGCGCCTCCGGTGGAAGAGGGAGAGGTCGCGAACAGGTCCACGCCCTCCCAATTAGTCATAGGAGAATACGCCTTTAGAAAGGTGCGCTGGGCTAAGCTCGGCTCTCGCCAAACCCGTCCAGTTTAATAGAATGACTACAAGAATGTATAACAACACTCAATAATTTATTTAATAATAGCGACCCGCCCTCGCTTCGCTTCGGAAACATTAAATTTTATTAATTATAGCTGAGTCCCGCGATGTTACCCGCGGTTATTGTCGTACCGTGGGGCGAAGCTAGTCTAAAAAAGTAGCCTAAGTTACTCCTTATATCATCAGCTACCTATCAGTGAAAGTCCTGTCAAAATCGGTCCAGCCGTTCCAGAAATTAGCCGGAACAAACAGACAGACAAAAATTGTAAAAAATGCTATTTTGGTGTATGTACCGTATATATATTCATATGCATGTAGTAAAAAGCGGTTATTTCAAAATTACAAACAGACACTCCAATTTTATTTATATGTATAGATTTATTTACAAACGATCAGGAAAAAACATTTTGTTCGTATTCTCATAAATGGCAGCTGCTAATTCGTCGGCGTCGTCTCCGCGCACTGCAGCCAACACCTCGAGTACGTTCCTGTAATTGTACACGCAATACATTACTTTCTACCTCCTACGTGCCAAAGAAATAAGCACTGCATTTTCATCAACATACAACAAAAAAAATCCATCCATTCATCTGCTAAAAGCTTTTTTGAGGACCTTAAAAAAACTATTTGAGGCCTCGGGAGACCAGAAGGCTGGTACCTATTTTGCACAAAAAATTAGCATTGCTATCCAGCGTGGAAATGCTGCCAGCCTTCTGGGGACGCTGTCAACTGGCGGTGAGCTAACACAGTTTGGGAGGTATACGATGGAGGGAAGATCTTCCGCCGAGCGGATGATATTTGCTTGGTAGACCGACGGTCCGAATGTTGTTGTTCGGAGCTTGTATATATGAGTCCTCTATTATCAAAGGTGGCAATCTGTGCATTTGGACAAAAAAATGTTATTGATATGGCAATACAGATTGATTTGAATATAATCGTCTCCTTCAAAGAATATGGTCCAAAACCTGCATTAAATAAAGGTTAATAGTTAACCTGTTATTTATCTAAGATGTCGTTCAGAAGAGTTTTGTGACTGCCAATGGAATACAAAGTCAATAATTCGTTTTTCTGATTTACCAATAATTGTCCAAAAGTCACATTGCCGGCTTTGATAATAGTCGACTCATATGCGAGCTTCTCTTGAAAATGTCGTAAGCGTGATTCAGGCATCTGTCAAATATCTTGTGTTCTGTGATGGCTACCCGACACACAGCTTTTCTATTTATAAGTATTTTATAAGTATCATTAATAGAACATATTAAAATGATTTCAATTGTCAAAAAAAAAACAAAACATGTATATATCGAGGGGCTATTTAGTTTAAACACAAAGCAGATAATATTTAAGCGACATTCATCTTTGTAATTATTAAAGGTGCGGTTTATTTGCTATTAACATCAACAGTAACTCGATGTTTTTAATTGAACTTCAATTAAGTTTACCTTATTCAAATTGCTCAAGAAGCTTTTTTGTTATATTTTTTCCACGTTTTCAATTTTAAGTGTTCTCCTGTAAAGTTGCAAAAAATGTCGCTTAAACCGAATAGCCTTTTACGCCTCGATATATTATTCTAAAATCCATATTCGAAACAGAAGTGGTGGAAAATGTCCTAAAAATTTATAATAAAAAAAAAGCGTCTACACAAAATTCATTTTCTTTACGATCTTATACATCACTGACATATACGCTTTGGTTACCCTTAATTCAATTATAATTTTATAAAGTACTCATTTTGAAGTCATCTTCAAACATCTAAGCAAACACATTTTAGAAGTAAAACAATAAAAATCAAGTTCAGATTATTTAGTACGATTTGCAGTTGTCTTGTGCGCCAAAATTTTTTTATAAGAAAATTTAAATACTCACACTATATTAACGGGCTCGTTTCTACCCTTGACCTGAGCGTTGCTCTGTAGAGAATACTTTGTCTTTTTTACAGTCTCAAACTTCGTGTTGACATGACAATAACCTGGATGGGAGGGTTTTATTTCGCACCACGGACAGTCGGTTTCGATCATGAGTTTGTCTCTTGGTATTTTTGAAGCAATTTCAATATTTTCTTTTGAACGGAGGGAACTGAAAAACAAAATTATTTATTTATTTCAAGTGCTCGACACGTAACTGGACTTCGCGTTTTAATTAAGATTTACATTGAATTTACAATAGAATAAATAATAAAATACATGTATCTTTTCACATGACGTTTACAGAATAAACTTACTCCCGAACTTTCGGCGTAGGTAGGAGAAAATATTAATGACTATACTTTTATTAAATATTAACATATACATAAAAATAAGTAGGTAATTATAGTAATAACTTCTTTAAATGATTACGTAAATTACAAAATGTTTTTTTTTTAATTTTTAGAGCAATCATTTAAATAAATTTTATCCTAAATGTCAGTCACATTAATATCTTTAGAATTTTTGATATTACAACAAATTCGAACTCAGAGCCTATAGGCGCAATCTCGATTGACTCACCATCCATTAATACCTATAGATAGGCCCAACTCCAGGATTTTCTGAAGATCTTGCTCTGATCCATCAAAGGAATGCACCACCCCGCCGGTAATCTTGTCTCGATTCCTACTGATTATTTCAATCAGGTCATCAGCTGCCGCTCGACAGTGAAGGAACAACGGCAGATTGTACTCCAGACTCAACGGAAGTTGCTTCTCAAAAAATCTAAAAAATAAGTGTATACTATAAATCTGTGTGCTTATAACATAGTGTAGTAAAAATCAAACCCGCAAAATTATAATTTGCGTAATTACTGGCGCTAAGACGTCTTGTGAGTCCGCACGGGTAGGTACCACCGCCCTGTCTATTTCTGCCGTGAAGCAGTAATGCGTTTTAAATTTGTTTAATTAAAATTAATTTAAAATTGAGGTCAAGCTTAGCTGGTTAGGCTCACCATTCTGTATATGTTATTTCAAAAAAAGATTAAATTGATTAGCCATTGTATTTTCTACTTGTGGAACCCATCATACCTTGCTGTGACTATCACTAACTGTATGAAAACCAGCAGTTTCTGGAAACTACTCGTAGTATTACATATATTATAGCTTATTTGTTATTTTGATAATAAGATATTTTTGTAATTTTGCATCAAGAACCGTGTGGTGGTTTTTGCATTAAACTATAACAAGCACCCTGTTACTATATTTTCATAAATTTGACATTCATAATATTAAGGGATTTAATAATACTAGTGGTCACCCCGTAGTCGAAACTCGTCTACAGTATTATACTTCTATAATCACATTTTTCGCCAAGAATACACTATAGAAAAATATTAATAAAGACAAACAATATTTAATCTATTCTCAACTTGACCACAGACGTCAAGAACAAAAGTTTGACAATAAATAAATAGTATGCATGCGTGTGTGCGTCAAATGCATGGTAGTGTGTGTAATGTGTCCTTTATTGATTTTATGTATCTTTTATGCATTATTTTAAAAACATATTAGCATTGTGCACTTGCTGGAGTCATGGTCCAGACGGCTGGCTGATCCTTCGGCTGGTCGTAGGACCGTCGAGGCGATTCGCCCGGTCCTTGTGGATTGGGTGAATCGTGACAGAGGACGCCTCACTTTCCTTTTTTTTTTTTTTTTTTTTTTTTTTTTTCTTTNGGGGGAGGGTGATGGGAGAGATGTGCTCCGCACTAAACGCTTCACTTTCCCCCCTCTGCCTCTTCATGAGTTCTGTCTCATGCGAGGTTTGGACGTTGGTTGTTGAGCGACAGGAGGTTTTAGTCAGTTCGACTCCGACATGCCCCGCCCTTCATCCCCAGGGGAGGGCGGAAGTCCGGCGATTTCCTCCTGACCAAAAAAAAAAAAGCATTGTGCACTTCTTCTCTATATTCTCTATAAGTGTGGAAAATTTCATACTCCTTCGTCCGCGCAATTTTCGTAAAACGGGATACAAAGTTTTTGCTTCACATATTAATATATAGATTCATGTAATAATAATATGTTATGCTGTTTATTTATTTTATTATAAATTTCAAAGATCATAAATTATACAATTACCTACTTTAGTTGCACTTCCTTCTCACAAAAGTGAAACCTTTCATAATCTAGTCCACACTCTCCTATAGCCACAACTTTGTCCTTGTTTCCTGATATGAGATCTCGCAGTCCTTGTAGGTAGTCATCAGGATTGGATAGAAACTCACTGCACCTGGTTGGATGACATCCCACGGTTGTGAATAACTTAGCTGAAATTTATATGATATCTTTCATAACTGTACTAGAGTTAATACTGTTATAGCTGTTTAGTTGCTGAGCGAGAGCCGTTACCGAGGTTGAATAGCAGAATTTCATCAGGCACCATCTTATAGGGAATATTTCTTGATAATGTCTGTATACCTATTGATTCTGCCAATGCCGGATAAGTTGAGGGTTCAGTTGCAATTCAACCTTTCCACAGTAAAACAGTCAATAGTCTAGTGGTGGTTAATTAGCCGGACCCAAATAAGACTTCAGTAGTTTCGAAGAACTAAATTTCTTCCAAAAGCTTTGCTGTGGAAGGACATGAGCATGGACGACCCCACCACGTGTATTTTTCCAAGAACGCCTCGTGAGGTCATGACCACCAACATTGAGGATTATCAATGCAAGGAGGAGTATACCTATTACAACCAAGTTCACAAAGGTTTGACTGCATTCCAGAGTTGATTTTGAAATGTTAATGACTATCTTGTTAAAGCAAATTGTGGAAATCTCATTAATAGGAAATTTGTGGAAATCTCATGAATCTCATATTCAAAATTTCTGCAAATTGTATGCTTGAACTCAGCACCACCAATTAATTTTATAGTGTCTACTTTGTGATGTTAAGGGCTATAATAATAACATAAGGTGAACTATGAATTTTTCATCCAGTTAATTTATTGTTTTTATTTATTATTATTACTTAATTTAGCCCATAGACATCTACAACGTAAATGCCGCCATGTACCTTGAGATATGAGTTCTAAGGTCTCAGTATAGTTACAACGGCTGCCCCACTCTTCAAACTGAAACACATTACTGCTTCACAGCCGAAATAGGCAGGGTGGTGGTACCTACCCGTGTCGATTCACAAGAGGCCCTACCACAAGTGATATGCAATATAATATGGACAGTATAATAAATGTGTTTGTAGCACATTACTTACAGTCTGTCCTAGAAAGCTCGATCGCTTTTTTACTGTCTTCAAGACTCCCTCCAGTAACAATGATTTTGTTGATGCCACTAGTCCAAGCTCTCTCCAGTACCACGTCCAAATCTGGCTCATGTTTTCTAGACCCATTATATACTCCTTTATACATACCATCTGTTAGGTTAGCACCAATGTCTGTTGATGAATAGAAATATATTTGTCACCTAGGTTTAAAGCTTATGAACAGAGAAATTTCTGAATAAATATGTATATTTGCATTAATGAGTTCTATATTACACAAGTAACTTTGAGTAACAACAGTTTTTATATATATATTTATATTATTTTATTTTCTAATCACAGTGCTGATAAGTTCGTCGTTTTATTAACTGGATGTGAATGCCGTTGCCCCCTTGACCAAGAGAAAATTGAAGCGTCATCTATTTCTAATGTAGGGCAGAATATTAGAAGTTTAATAGGAAAATAGACACAAATACAGACTGAAAATAAGGGTACTCTGGCCAGATCTGTAGTGAATTCGAATTATTATAATTAAAAATTAGATGAATAACCTTTACCTATATATTTTCTTAACGCACTCATCCTTCTCATTTAGGTGATAGTACAGTTTTATTAACTTTTATCTCTTGAATATGAAGGATGCTCAAAATTATTTAAATGAGTTTCCTAGATATTGTTCATTAAATTGATCATATTGCTCACTAATATGTAAGGTATATAATTTAAAGCAACATTTTAATGGTACACAACTTAATTTATAAAAACACGATAAGTCAATAATAAATTATATTTTATAATAAATTATTTATTATTTATATTATATATTATTTATTATAATAAATTATATGGCTGTGTGCAACGCATTAGCACATGTGCAAATATATTAAGTGTATAATCTATGCACATGTGCAACAGTATAATCTATGGCCTATGGTGTCTACTAGCATAGATTATACACTTAATATATTTTCTAACTCAGACGACGCAATTTTATTTTTCTTAAATGGTGGAGGAGCTTACTGGTGGTAGGACCTCTTGTAAGTCCGCACGGGTAGGTACCACTGCTTGTTTCTGCAGTGAAGCAGTAATGCGTTTCGGTTTGAAGGGTGAGGCAGACGTTGTAACTATACTGAGACCTTAGAACTTATATCTCAAGGTGGTTGGCGCATTTACGTTGTAGATGTCTATGGGCTCCAGTAACCACTTAACATCAGGTGGTCTGTGAGCTCGTTGACCCATTAAGCAATAAAAAAAAAAGTTGACAAGTTGACATACTTAAGCTTCGATCAACAATAGTAACTGTTGATCGAAGTACTTAAGCATAAGTTCAAGCTTGTAGGGTCGCCACCAATGGCCCCTAGACGCCATTTTGGAAAAAGGGTTTCGCGCTATTTCTCATAAACCTTCAACCCTGCAGAAAATTTTGTAGGACATTATTTGTAGCAAATTAGCTCTTCTACAAGTTTATTCCTATGACATTTTATTGTAACATGGACAATTTATGAATAAGTTTTCGTTTGGGGGCTATAACTATATTTCTGGTCATTTTACAATATAATGACGTCAAAGCACATTTGTAGAGGGTTTTTTAATGGATAATTCCAGCTGCAAATTTGTTAAATTTCGTTAATTTATTTGAGTTTTACAGCGCTTCAAATTTGACCAGGTTTTTAAATATTCGCAAGAATGCGATAAAAATGAACCGTTAGTCTTAGTTTTCTATTATATATATTTTTAATCATTTAATATCGACCCTTTTCCTCACCATAAAACATAAAAACCATTGATTTTTATAATACACTTCCTAAACAGAGTGTACATTTATGAGAATCCTAAGTAGATAGAAAATTCCTAAGTACCTCTTGGGGCCAAACATCTGCCTGCTATTACTGTTATCACTATAACTTGTCCTAGAATGTTCAAGTGTTTCTTCCCTCTCTTGTTTCTCTGTCTTAATAGACGTTCACAAAACGGCTACATCAGAGCCCAGAGGTGATTTTTAGTGCGACCAGGCTGAATTAGATGCAGATACAGTCATTGTCTGTTCTGAGCTTGCCACACCCTAAACCTATGATTCTGTATCTATCGTAGCAGAGGATATTGACATTCTTCTCGTGCTCGCATCATTATGAAGGAAGCAGTCCAGTTTATTTTTTTTTAATACCTACAAAAGAGCGTACAATACTGTCCTTCAGATTTTATAGGTAGTGAAATAATTTCAAACAATCTTTTAGTAGTATGTGTGTATATATATATATTTTTTTCTTTTTCTAATACAACTTCTGCCCCATCACAACAAATCCACAATTCGAGTACCTATACTTTCCTTCGCATGCTTCGAATCGCTTGACTATTTTGACGCTTTTCTTTGTAGTCAATAGATGTCGCTGTTTCGAAACTAAATCGCGGTATAGAGATATGTTACATTTTATTTAAGTTAATTCCATGCCATGAATTCGGTCTTGAGATATAAGGTTTAAAAGACGCACAGTGTTTACACTGTGCTTGTTTTTGAAGAGGAATTGTACCTTTGTTTGTATGAATCCTTAATTTGGTCATGTAATTGAGTAGAGGTGTAAAGGCATTAGTTTTACCAACAGTTTCACGTGTAATTTAATACTTACGTAATGCATGCATTAATTTCATGCATTCAAATTAGTTTCGTGCGCTGCGCGATTTTTTGGTGAAATTAGTGTCATGCTACTAATTTCATAGTGTAGACGCGACGTGAAACTAATGTCGCGAAAGGGCCTGCGCTGTGCGGACGTGTGTATTGTTAGTTCGGACGCGCTTCAAGCGTTGAAAATGGCAAACCAATAGACTTGCGCAAAACATCACTTGTCAATGTAATGTGATATGACATCACTTTTACAGACAGGTGATATTACTCGAAAACATTACACATCACTCCTAACATTACTCGGTGCGTTCAATAGATACTGTGACGACGAATACATTGTATCTATACCCCCGAATCATTACCTAAGTGATGTGTATGAACACATCACTTAAGTAATGATTCGGGTATGTCATTAAAGTAGTGTATTACAATACAAAGTATGAACTTTGTATTGTAATACACTGTTATATTACTTGACAGAGATTGACTTACTTAATAATATAATAATTTTATTTTTTACTTAATATAATTTATTGTGGGATGAACGGATTTCATATGGCGACTTAGACTGCAAATTGAGCTCGACAATAATGTTAATATACGAGAGCAGTAGATGCATNGTAGGTGATAGATGCTGCTGCGTTACACCTTTCAAGGTACCAGCTGACAAACTTTCCACTGAGATACAGCAAGCTGACATTAATTTTCATTCATAGTAGAATATAAACGATCACCAGGTAAATTTTTAGTTGAGAAGAAATCATTGAAAATATTTTTTTTTCATGTTCAAGCAGCCAGCTGACGTATAATCCACCATGTTATGACAGCTGACTTTTTTTTTCCTTCAAAATACTAGGTTAACTATAATCTGACAAAATTTCAAATGGGAGGAAATGACTGAAAAAACTTTTTTTTTCTCCATGCATGGGAGGCCGCCACCGCCCGCCCCACCCACGGAGTCGCAGCTGACGGTCGCGAGTATTCATAGTATAGGACCCTAATGCATTTTACGAAGTTTCGCTCGAGAAGAAATAATTGACCGAAATTGTACTTGGCTCCTGGACCAAAACTGATCCGCATACTTACAACGCGCATTCTTTCGATGCCATTAAGCTTGAGAAATCGTAACTAATACAGTTAATGGTTCACCACGCGTTTGCTTTTATGAATATAATTTGAATAGTTTCATAACTCTTGAGACCAAAAAAGACTGACGTTCATTGAGACTCAATGAACAAAGATCATGAAAAAGCGGCAGTCAATGAAACATTCAGACGGATAATTCGTCCTCGAAGTAGGCATTATGCTAACTTTTCGTTTTGAATTTAAGGTTTGCACGTAAATTCAAGGCTAACCTTGCTCGGTAGCCCTCGCGATTGTATACAACTGCAGGATTATTGCCCAGATTGGTGGCGAGCACGGATTGAGCTTACTGAACTTGGCATATCCTTATGGCTCCTCTTCACAATCGGCCATGATGGGCCAAAAAATGATCGTCTATCATCGCCGCCATGATCGGGCAACTCTTCACACAATCGTGAACGTTCATTTACTGACTGTCTACTGATATGTTAAGACGTCTGGGTATCGATGATGGAAATCGAGGGGATCGCGGCTGCGGCAATATTTTTAGTTAGCTCATAATATAGTCATTTAGTTAATGTGCGCGAAAAAAGAATTGTGATAACTTTTTTTATTGCCCTTGTAGACAGACGAGCATACGGCCCACCTGATGGTGAGTGGTTTCCGTCGCCCATGGACTTCAGCTATGCCAAGGGCAGAGCCAAACCGCTGTCTACCGATAATTATAAACAAGATGGAGGAAGAGAAGGTGGTCGGTGGTGGCTATCAATCGGAACAAACCAAGGTCCACGCAACCACGCCGATCATGCGCGATGATGGCCGACCACACACATTTATGCCCTCTACACTATCGTGAGTTTCTATAATCGCCCATCATGGCTGATAGTGAAGAGGAGCCATGAGTTTCTGTAATCGCCCATCATGGCCGATTGTGAAGAGGAGCCATTAGAGATACGTTGCGGGTCCAACAATTACGAAACTATTTAGGTACCTACTCATGCACGTGCATGTTTTGAACTTAAATGTTCTGTTTTACTTTGAATTCTGGACTATACGAAAATGTGATAGGGTCACGTGTATTTATTAGTGTGATCTTTCACCAAAATACCGGCAAAAAAACATGTGGCGTTCTTTCTTACACTTTTCAGCAACGGCAACGGCTTAAACACACCCTGTAAATCCTATTTATGTTTATTGATGTAAGAATGAAAACCATTATAGTGTGGACGTACGCATATCAAGAACTTGTTGTACAGAAAAGACCGAAATTAAAAACAAAAGCGTTTATTTATTTATCCATAAATAATCAAAAACAAATACGTTATTTAATGTGTGTGTGTCCCAGCAAAGAGTATCTTGTCTTCATGAAGAATTAGGAACAGGAATGGATGGTCTACTTTGAACGGTAAAGGTGGCGGCGGTCTGGATAGCGAAGATGTCGGCACGGCAATCAACCCTAATAAAAAAATTGTGAATTAATTATTATTAATATTTAAACTAATATTAAATTTGTTAATATTAATTTAAACTAATATTAATTAATATTAATTTAAACTAATATTATTATTATGAATATTTAAACTAATATTATAAAGCTGAAGAGTTTGTTTGTTTCGTTGAACGCGCTAATCTCAGGGACTACTGGTCTGATTTAAAAAAATCTTTCAGTGTTAGATAACCCATTTATTGTGGAAGGCTATAGGCTAACACTAATAAAGAATGTTTCAAAATCGTTTTTTTCTTTTGAGAATTTCCGCTGCGTGCTCTGCGGTAACGGTTAGTTTCGCTAAAATAATGTATGACAGAATTGTCCTTTCATTTTACCATTAATCTCTAAGCACAGCTCGTGCGAGTTATGTTTAAAAAAAAAAAACAGTAATGTGGCAATTCTGTTCTTACAAAAAAAAATTATTTACTTGCAAGGTCACTGTATTTGCAAAATTGCATAATGGTATTTTATGGCATGGTATTTTAATGTTATTTTAAATCCTGGATTGGCCAGGATGAGGCCGATGAGCCTTCAGACGCCTATGGCAATACCAGGGATCACAGAAGTGAAGACAGTATTACCGAAGGGT